CAGTTGGGAATATAACATTCTTCTCAACCAATACCTTCCTCCTGGATGGCCAATAGACCCAGCAGCCCTAGCTCTTGGCATCGACTTCCACAAACACAGCTTCTTACACCTTCACCTCCAGCTTTCCTGCCTCAAGCAGATAAACATAGACTGTACACCTAAACTTGTGCACCTGTGCAAGGTTTGGCTTCACCTTCCAGACAAGCTCATATGGGGTGGTACCTAGGGTTACTTGAGATAGTAGGTGGTTCATCAACTAGGTCATATAACTCACTGCTACCACCCACAGGAACTTGGGTAAGTCTTTGGCAATGAGCATTGCTCTAGCATGCTCTACCAAGATGTGATTAAGATGTTCAGCAACACTATCTTGCTGGGGTGAGTCATGCATAGTTAACTGATACTTGATACCTTGCTGACTTAGGTATTTGTCAAACTTGGCACTTAGGTACTCTCCTCCTTGATCAGAACAGACCTTTGACAAGCACACACTTGGTGACTGTTATGTGAGCCATGCCTCATAGGCCTTGAAGGCAGTAAGTGCATCACTTTTGACCTTTAGGAACTGGAGCCTTGTTTAGCGACTAAAATCATCCATGAAGCTGAAATAGTATAGGCAGCTAGCTATGCTTGCCATCTGTGCTGGACCCCATAGGTTTGTATGGACCAGTTCTCCATAGGTGAGTGCCCTACTGGCTGTTTCATTGGAGAATGGCTTCTGAGTTAACTTTGCCTTCATGCAGCTGTCACAGAATTTGGGTTTGGACATTGTCTTGCTAGGATGTGAAAGGCAGAAAAGTCACCAAATTCACTATCCTTCTATGGTCAATGGTTCAGACAAATACTAACGGTTGATAATGTAGTCATTTGTGGGGGACAAGGTTTTCTGTTGAACTTTTCAAGCAAATGCTAGTAATGTAAAATGGGCAAAGAAGTGTGGAAATCAATAACTGGCTTGAGGCAGTGCTATGATCTCAAGTAAAGTCAGTAACTGGCATGATGCAGTGCTATGACCTTCAGAATAATATGTTGCAGCTGTATGCAATGACTAGAGCTATAATATATCCCTGTGGATATTTCTTACTTATCTTCAGCAATGGAGATCAAATTCACTAGCAAAATTGTCCCAATACGTGGCCTTGAAACCAACTCTCTGCTGCTCAGGCACTCACTATGAGTATGATGCAGTCCAAAACAGAGTACATCCTTTGATGTAGTCTTAAGTGGCCAAGCTCTTAATATTCGTTGACAGATTGTAGGTCTTATTTGTCTTCCCTAATTGATGAATAATATGTGTGATTCTCCCCACAGAACTTTTCCTGTGTCTAAAAGAGAACTAGAATGAATACTACTTGTGTAATCAAATATGGCTCAAGTATGTGGCCTCAAATACTCCTGAATAATGTGTGAAGAATGTGGTAAAAGAATGGAGTAAATAAGCTGATATTTCTCCTAGTTGTCACTTATTTGTTCACTTAGTTAATAGGGGTAAAGGAACTTAGGGGTGTATGCACTGATCCCCCTTTGATTCCCCTAAACTTTGTCTCACTCTGATTGGATGATTGATACTTGGGAATGAAATTGATTTCTTCACAAGAGGGGAAAATGAGCCCCTTATATACTACTATACTAGTGGCTATGCTATTGATTACTAATGTACTTAAATTAAATTGGAGTCATATTGAGTCATGCTGAGTCAGTATGAATCATTATAAGAAAGGACTATAGAATACTCTGGAATTTTACAGAATACTTGGTAAGAATGCTTGGCAAAGGCTGTGTTAAGACCATAACACTGCCATGCTTTGTAATAATGCTTGGTAAGGGCTGTGTTAGCACTGCCTTGTTGTTGTGCTTTACCAATCATCATCTTTCTAATCATAGTATCAATTTGTCAGGTTCCACAGCTTTGGATACATAGATACAAATAAAGTGGCATAAAATGTTGACACATATTTGTAAAGTGGCATAGAATGTTGACACATGTTTATTTCATATACAAGAAAGATAAGTGGCATAATAAGTATTTTACATGGACAACTAAGCCATTTCTTGGTGAAACATGCTTTGAAATGTCCAAGTAAAATTAATGTTGTGAGAAAAATTCAAGTGACTTCATAGTTTGAAATGAAGAGTAACATAAATTATAGTAGCATAAATCATAATATGGTCATGACCATGTACGAAACAAGTTTCGTGTGTGTCAATGTGGCATCCAGCTTGATGCCCTCCATGAGGTTCTTCTTTACTGTGTCAATGACAGCCTGTTAGGACATGTGTCCCAGGACCTTGTGCAGTTCATTCACGGTGAGTTTTGACTTAGTGACATTGGTGTGATATTTCTGATAGCTGGCATGGACACTATAGAGACCTTCAACTTGAGGGATTTCTGCAATGAGTCACCTTTTCAGTCCCTAGGAGAGTATTTTGCACATCCAGCCCTTGAATAGGACAGCAAGACTGGCAGAGGTGGTGTGGTATAGAGAATGAGATTCCTCTAGGTGTAGATCATGCATATTTCAACTCATGACGATTGGTATGGTGCATGACTCACTCCCTATGACTTTTCCATGAAATGCGCCAGAGGTGTGATGCTTTCCTGCACTATGTGACACATTCATGCACATGTGCTTAGCATGTTCTTCCTGCACTTGGTTGCCCCTTGTCATGCAGTATCCTGGAGCCTCTATCTATCATCCAACCAGTTCCCTGGTACATCTTTTCTTGTTTATTCTCATTATCAGACCATATTTAGCATCATATGATACATTATTTCATCATGGACCCTTTCCATACATCATTTACATACATACAGCACTCCCTATTCACTTCTGAACCCTGGGAGCATGCCTAGGCACAGCTTACCTGTTGCCTAGGAAGTTTTCACCAATCATCTACTATCATGTCACTTAGTATCTAGTAGTCAGAATTCATCATCATCCATCAGTCATCACCCTAGTCCTTAGTGCAGTCTACCATCAACAGTCTCCTCTCAGCATTCTTAGTTCACATCTTCATGACATCCACCAGTCTTTATACATTCACACACTCCTTGCACCTTATTCCCATGCTTCATGCACCTACATGCTCTGCATTCCTGCACATGCGCTCATTGCACTTCACCAGAGTTGACCTGGCATCACTTCATGAATCCTTGCTTTCCTTGCTTCCCCTAAGGGTCGAGCATATCACTTGGTGCACTTTGACCAACACTTAGAGAGTCAGTAGGCTTTCTCTCACCCCAGAGTGAGAGCCATCTTTCTTTCTTCTGCTCTGCAAGCCAGCAGAGTTGTTGAACCTTCAGTGGTTGGTTGAGATGAGGGTAAAGGCTGTGCTTGGTACATATAGTGCATCACAATATCCTGTAGGTATAATATATCAATGTCTAATATTGTAGAAGGCTGATGTTATATCAAAGTCTGTGGTCCATAGACCATCCCTGTAATGTATCACCTTCATGACCTTTGAAAGTGATATATCACACGAGCCTCCCTTCAAAGCTCACATGATATATCACCTTCCTGTTGTTTAAGCCTGCCTAGCACATGATACACCTGAGCTTTGAAAGTGATGTATCATGTAAGCCTCCCTTCAAAGCTCACATGATATATCACCTTCAAAGCCTGCCCATGTGATACACCTGAGCTTTGAAAGTGATATATCACATAAGCCTCCCTTTGAAGCCTGCATGATATATCACGTTCATGTTGTTTAAGCCTGCCTAGCACATGATACACCTGAACTTTCAAAGTGATATATCATGTGAGCCTTCCTTCAAAGCTCATGTAATATATCACCTTCCTGTTGTCAAAGGCTGCCCATATGATACACCTGAGCTTTGAAAGTGATATATCATGCAAGCCTCCCTTCGAAGCTTGTGTGATACATCACCTTCTTGTTGTCAAAGCCTACTCACATGATACACCTGAGCTTTGAAAGTGATGTATCATGCGAGCCTCCCTTCAAAGCTCGTGTGATATATCACCTCCTGTTGTCAAAGCCTGCCTGGTATGTGATACACCTGAACTTTCAAAGTGATATATCACACAAGCCTCCCTTTGAAGCTCATGTGATATATCACCTTCCTGTTGTCTAAGCCTGCCCACATGATAGTACTACATATGAACTTTGAAAGTGTGTGATTATTTAGGTAGGTACATTAAAACATGACGGATCACAATATATCTACTTCTGAGACTTTTTTTGTCAACCCCTCAGCACCATACCAGACTTCAGCCTGCTTCCTCTTTGTTGCAGGCTTCATTCCTTGCTGGCCACCAATTTTATTGGCTTCATTAGCTCTTGTGAAAGGGCATGTTGAGCATCCAGAGTGCCTGCTAGAGGAAGCTGAGACAGCAGGTAATAAAGATACTGTCTCCAAATTGGGTTGGGGATATTCATCAGCCAAAACTCTTCCAATGTCAGGAGGTGTTGGCTGGTGAGAAGTAGGCAAATATTGCTGGTCAACAGACACCATTGAAGTGGAGAGTGTGTTGACCTCCTCAAGTGCAGAAATTGTGTTCATTTGCTCAACTGAGAACAAAGAAGGTTGAGGCAGGATGGTGGTATGAAACAATGACAATGGGTATAGGAAAGGAGGAATGGCTTTGGCTGTGCTGGCAGCTGGTTGTTGCATGCAATTGAAGGTGGGGGATATGTGTGGGCCTTCATGGAACAACATTGACTTTCTCCAAGCAGTGGTTGGCATGTCTGTTGGCATGTCTGTCACACTATGAGGAGACAGAATGAGGTTTGGCTCACCACTACTAGCATGCATCAACCATTCACCAAGTCCATTCACTCCTGTGAGCCCACTAAAGTCCAGGTTGTAAGAATTGGACACTGCTAAGTTCTCCTGTTCTCACAATTGAGTGGGATCAATTATGGAGAGACACTGATTCATGTCAAGTAAGGGTTCATCCAGATTCACATTAAGTAAGGGCTCATCCAGATACACATCAAGTAAGGGCTTGTCCAGATTTTCATCCAGTGAGATCAGGTCAGTAGGTAGAAGACAAGGTGAGATTGGGGTGGATGAGGGAGCTGGCGTGCACTGTGAAGAAGCACCTATGGTATATCTTTGTTAATCAAGTTGCATAGCTAGGAATTTCACTTACCATGGATGTGTCCAAGGTACATATTGTTCAAATGGTAATAGATACTGTTTGTGGAAGTTTGGTGTAGATGCCCCAAAGCTCAGACCATCTGCGGTTTTACCATGGTGGTAGCTAACAATGTGAAATTTGAATCAAAGGTCACATGGCTGTATGGGAATTCTTAAGAACACACCTCAATGTCATGATATCACCTTCACACAGAGGGTCAGCTCCACCCATGACAACACTATAGTGCCATCCACCTGTCAATGCTGAGAGTTCCTCAAAAACTTGACCTAGAATCATGGGCAGCTCTTGAATTGCATTATGAAAGGTAAGCAGTCAATACTAATTTGGATCAAAATCAAAACACGTTGACTTACTGATAAACTTCTTCTTTTGTTCTCAGATTCTCTCCAACAACACTGCCCAATCTTCTGGCAGCGTTGAGATGCAGTCTCCTCCCAAATTTCTTTCTTAATCTCCTCTGATTCATCTGCAAAGCAATCAGTAGTGTGCTGCCAGACTGCACTAAGCCTCTGGGTAGGTTGTACAAGATTCTTTTTGAGTGCATCAGAAACTAATGGTTTGACTTTTGATTTGTAGTGAAGTTTTGAATAAACTTCAACCTCTTTGAGGTCTTGAGTGCCTTGTGCATGCTGGCCAAGTAGTACAGACAGTGCTTTACCTGTTGAGCTGCCACTTTTCCCTTTGAGTTATTCTGAAACCATTCCCACAATTTCTAACCAATCAAAACAATCACATTCTAAAATTAGGTCAAACTAAATGCAACATACTTTGTGTCATTCTCCTGCTTCCATTGGAGGCGAGTTGGACTCACTACCTTCTTGTTCTGCTGATTTAGGTGGGTTTGTTGTAGAATCAGGTGGAGCCATTTCATTGATGAGCTCGACAATGTCTTTGCCAAGTTTGTTGGCACTAACATTCTCATTGCAAGGCAGGCTGTCATTTAGTTCTGTCTCCTCCGGAAAGTCAATGAACCACCTTGGAAACAATGACTTGAAGAATCAAGGTAATTTCTTCTCTTTTTGCATTTGCAGGTAGGCAGGCATCTCATTCTGCAGCCAGAGTAACTGCTCTGCACTTGTCCATCTGGGAGGCGCCATCTGGATGGGAGGTGAATATCAATTGTTCATACCTCATATCTCATCTCCCTCACTGACAACTTTTTTTTTCTTGGTTTTGTGTAGAGCTATACACACAGGTGCAATGCTGAACCAAGCTGCCAACCTTTGTCTATGTTGTTACTCAGCCATGAAGTTTATTTTTCTTTGATGAATTGGGTCAGATTTCATGACCAAGCAACACCAATTAGTGAGTGATACAAATAGCATATTTTTCATACTTGAAACTGACAACCCAATTATTTCTACATCTTCTTGACATGAACCACAGCAGCTCCAACATTAGATGCCCCCACAGTCGACCCATACAAATGCTTTGCCATCCATGTTTCACAATGGAACAATTCATTGAGGCCATACATCTTGTACAGAATGGTCATGGTAAGTTTCTATCATGATATTGCTGAAGCACTTACTCACTACCACGTTTCACACAGTTCCCCCATCATCTTTGTAACCATATGTATGGCCTTACCAACCTGAAGATGAGGCATGCACAGTTCATGCACAACAGGGTACTGTGAACTTGCTTACACTTTTTTCTTTTGCTTTACTCATGTACTTACTGCACAGTCTCTCATGACCCAGAAGACAGCTCTGCATTCACAGAGGACAATTCCTCAGATACCTCTATTGATGATATTTGGATTGGCCTTGAGGTCCGATCTGAAGATGAGGCATGCATAGTCTGTGCACGACAGGGTACCATGAACTTGCTTACACTTCTTTCTTTTGTTTTACTCATGTACTTACTGCACAGTCTCTCATGACCCAGAAAAAAACTCCACACTCACAGAGGACAATTCCTCAGATACCTCTATTGATGATATTTGGATTGGCCCTGAGGTGGCCATTGCTGACAATGGTCTCGAGTGCTCCTCTTCCAATGATGGGGGAGATGAAGCAGCATCTAACACCAGTGCTGAAACACTCATCAACCTTGACCCTGCTCATTACTTCAACTGGTTTGGAACCACCAGTGTTGTCGGTGTTGGGCTATTTAGTGACATGTAAGCCGCTTTTTCATTGCCTCTGATCCATGACACATCTGATTATACATAGAACCACTGCTTGGATGCTTTGTGCCCCAGGCACATCGGTCCATTACTTCACCACATCCCATGAAGCCAAGAAGTATTTTAATCTTGCTCTGTCAATGTGGGTTGGCAATATGGTCTGATATAAATGTAGTTTTTTTTGCTACATCTTAAAATATTGTAGGGGATTTCCAATGAACATTCTACACACTTGATCACCTAATAAATATTTTTGCTTGAATCAGACATGCTTAATGAGTCTTACATGAGCAGGCCTCACAGGCAACATCATCTGATAAGCTTTATGCTTGAGTCGGATGTGCTCAATGAGTCTTACATGGGCAGGCCTCACAGGCAATGTCATCCAATAAGCTTTATGCTTGAGTCAGACGTGCTCAATGAGTCTTACTATATGATCTAGGCCTCACAGGCAACGTTATCCAATAAGCTTGGTGCTTAAGCAGATGTGCTAAGAGTGATTCTCACATGGGCAATGATATATCATGCTGCTGGATGTACATGCCTGACCCATTGTGCAGTCATGTCTGATGAATATATACTGCAATGATTTTGGTTTACATTTGCCTGTTTATTCACTTGGTAATGTGTGTTTAATGGTATGTGCACAGTGCAGTATTTAATTTGGTTCATTTGGATCATATGTTGCCTATGTACATGCACGATCACATCTGTCCCAAAGTGTGGACTCATATGACACCAAACTAAATGGTGAGTTGTTTACACTAACTTACTGCTGTGTTGCTACAGACACATTGTCTCCCAAATCATTATCACAATGGCACCAAAATACAAAACTGCAGAAGAACACTATGAAGCTTGATTGAAAAGCAAATGGGCACATTATCAACAGTATTTGATCACTCTGAGTCCATCATCATACTTGAATGAATTTTATTTGTCTTCCCTTAGAAATAAGACTATAGAACAGGTGAAGTCTCAAACTCATTGGTGGACACATTGTCATTTTGATAATGTATGTATTTTCTTGGTATACCATACAGTACTATATAGACATTTTACCAAACAGGACACTGTCACATTGTTTTCCACCTTGGACAAATTGAGCAATGAGCTTGGGTATAAGTCTGGCATTCCTGAGGCACACATCATACAATCTTGTGTTAGTGCAGTTCTTCAGAGGGTAGATGATGAGGGTTGGACTCTGCTACATCCTGAGTTGGACAATGCAGTCATTGCATTGCTGAGTTTGCACAAGGGAGCTACCAAATTATACGAAGCTGCACAACAGCTTGGATGTAAGTCTGTGACTGGATATCACCTCTTATTGAAACAGAGCCAGGAACTAGTTGACTTGATAGGGAGATGGCTTGTAGTGGAAAGGGAAGTCATATCGATAATAGATGATGGGGGTGTTGAAGCTTATGATCAGGCAACTGTTAACTGACTTACTCAGTTGGCACTGGCAGAAGGTTTGATATATCAGGACAGTTTTTAAAATAGCATCTTCACACAGGTGAATCATGAAAGAGTTTACTACTAGTGTTACTACAAGTCAATATCCAATAGTTGGAGGTCAGAGATGGCGAGCCCTGAAGCAATACCAGCGTGATTTCTATGCACACAATGCTGCTGCTTCAAAAGCAGTAAGTAACAACACCAATGATGCACCTCAACATACTTGCAAAGCTCAACAATGAAATCACAGCAGTTTTGAAGCAGGATCAAGTGGATGTCTAAATGTCTCTTTAACCTACTACACAGTTCCTCATTCTCCAGGGAAATGCCATTGTGGAGAATCAGAAGACGTACTAGAGACCATAAAGCTCGACTTTGCAACTCTCAACAACTTATCAGACAACCTTCAGAATGACACACCAGAGTTTGTAGAATTCACCAAGCAAAAATGCACTGTAGTTCAGGGTGAGGCCTTGTGCATACGGTGATCCAATGCCAACTTGTTTTTGGAGGAGTTCCTCCACCTGGAGGGTTGAGGTGACTATTCACAAGATATCTGTGTTTGTGGTAAGGAAGATGCAATATATTGCTGTCAGGATTGTCACAGTTCCAAGTTGTTCTGTCATTTGTGCATGATCCATGTATATGAAAGACAGCCACTTCATACATTGGAGGTATGTGCATATATACCTTGCATTCCTTACATTAACTGACTCTTTTGCACTTGAAACTTAGTGTTGGGATGGTGTCTCATTTTATAGTATCACCTTGAAGTCCATGGGAATCTGTTTGCAGCTTGGACATGCTTCTGGTGTTCGGTGCATTAACCCACTCCCTGCTTTCAATGATGACTTTGTTATCATCAACTACAATGGCATCTATGAAGTGGGCTTAGATTTCTGTGGATGTACGTCCACTCAGCCACACATCATACAACTACTACATGTTTGCCTCTTTCCTGCAACAACCATTGATCTGAAAACAGTGGTGACATTCTGGGCACTGGAATACTTTCAGATGCTGTCTTTCAAGTCTAAAGTCTCTGTGTTTGAATTCTACAAAACAGCTGCCCACTTGACAGACAACACTGGAATTCATGTACCAAAGGTATGTACCAATGCTATTTTAATTTTGATTCATCATATTACAATCTAAGATTGTTACAAGGCTATGTTGCACATGATGCAAGAATGGTGCTTCATCAAGCAGATGCAACGTGCTGGTCAGGGTCATCACCCAAAAGGTATTGTGGTGACTGAACCAGGTGCATGTGCTGTTTTGTGTCCTGTGTGTCCCCATACAGGCAAAAACCTGCCAGATGGATGGGAAAATGTACCATCAGAAATACAGTACGCAAACATTATCTTTCTTCCTGACTTTGCTCTTACATTGTCCCAGATTTTTATATGCCTTATTCCTTGCTATTGATGCCAATTTTCACCTGGCTTGCTGGAACGTCTCTTCAGACATTGTTGATCCTGGTCTCAATCATGGATATGCTTTTTTTGTGGAGGAACAAGCACATAAAGGTTTTATTGGTTCGCACAAATGAGTTGTCCAGGAGGTAGATTCAACTTTCTATTTGTCATGAACACTAAGTATAATCCTATGTAGTTGAGTTCGTGTTCCAGTCACAATGCGGTCAATCTCGCAGATATGAGAGTCTCACATGGTCTTGCAGCCACTGGTGCCAGTACTATTGATTGCACATGACATAATTTCAAACAGCCTTGCTCAGTCGGTAACTTACAGAAGGGTGAAAGGTATGCAACATATTTCGCACTCTTGTCATTTTGCTAACAACACAACTCATAGGTATCTCAACATGGATTACCTATTCTTCTCAAGCATGCGATCTTTATCAGACATATCAGCATTGAACATTTCATATGATATCACTTGCCAATGGAGCAAGCATCTCTGGACATGAATGTCTACCTTTCCACACTGGTACCACATCAACCACAACCAAAAAGCAATCACATTCCTTGTACCAAAGTTCCACCTGCCGGCCCATGTTGCCAAATGTCAGTCATCTTTTTCCTTCAATTTCACCAAGGATGTCGGTCACATGGATGGCAAAGCTCCTGAGCATGGGTGGGTGGATATAAACCCCATTGCTACAAGCACATGTGAATGGGTCCTGGTTCGAGGCATGACACCTTAGATGACCACTTCAACGACTGGAACTGGAAGAAGATCTGTGCAATGGGTAAGTTTTCAGTCTCTTGCTGAATATCTCGATTCAAAGTATCACTGTTTCTCAGGTTTGATTTTCTGCCAAAAGTACAGCTTTGCATTAACTGAAATGCAGGAATGTGTCAATGATCTCATCAATTTTGAGGCTTCCCTCACTACAGATGAGTTGACCAAATGGAGGAAGGATATCAAGGCATGGGAGGCAGACTGTTGTAGAGACCCCTGTCCTCTACAGCCATATAACAGGCATATTTTTGTGTTTTGGCCTCTGCACTGATGCCCTCCAATAAGCATGATACATGTGCAGTATTCGTGACGACATGCACTTTGGCGCACTTCAGGATGTGCTACAAATGTGCTTTTGCACACTTTCACATCCTCATCACCAACTGTCTGCATGTCCTGTCCTTGTCCTCCAAGGTCCATTGGTGTGTGTTCTATCTATTTTTACTTCAAACACATATCACAGAGTTACATATGGTATGCAATTACTCATTGCCTCACTATTTTTACTTAAGTTACATCACTTACAATATTTACTGCTACCTATTTGCTTCTGAAGCCTGGGAACATGCTTATGAGGCATTACATGCCTCTGGGTAAATTTTAGTTACTTACTTCCCTTCCACTAGTATCCCTCAGAGCAGCAGCAGATAGTTGAATTGACTACCACCTTTGTCGATTTTCGCACTTGAGCTCAGAAAAGGATCATCTCATCTCCATCATCTCCCACCAATCCAAGAAAAAGATCAGTATCACTCACCTTGAGGTCTAGAGCCCAGCCATGAAGCACGCATTTCGCACGTTGAGCACGCATTTTCGCATACCTGTCACATCCAGTGTGCTTTGGCGCCTATCGTCACACTTCATACTCTCACACTCCACCAGGCCCTCTGTCGAGAGCTAGTTCTTGGCATTCCCCCTCAATTCTTTAGAGGAATCCTTTCTCAGTGGCAATCCCCTTGGGTCGAGTTTGACTTGCATCCAGAGGAGCTCTGAAGAGTCCTTATCTTTAGTGTCCCCCCATCACCCCATCCAAATTCCTCGCCTTCACCATTTGCAACCAAACCCATTTGAAAGCAGAGCTACAACAAGTATATGTACTCTACATTAACACATTTTGAGAAGCTGATAGCATTTTCAACAGCAATGACTCAGGCTGCCATGTACCTAGCCTTATCAATGGCTGAGGCTGCAGAGATTGAGCATGGTAGCAACATGTCCCTACATGATGATATATCACCATCAGTACTGATTTCATCAGGATTAGAACTTGAAGATCAACAGTTATGTTTATGTTTCTGGATTTCATTGAATCACACACTGACTCTATTATAGGCACCATCTTGACTTTGATGCCAAGATGATTGGACAACATGCTATAGATGTCCAGAAGGGCAAGATTTTACAACACATGAATGCTCTTCACCAACACATTGACACTTGGGCCTGGGTGCAGCTGTTGTATATGCCTAGTGTCTCCCGCCTGTGGTCACAAGATGATATCACCACAGAAACCAAGGTTTACAGCATCAGCCTTTTCCTGCCATCCTCTCTACCTCAGCAAGTGCTATGTGACAATCGCTTGCTTAAATACAAGTGGGATTTGCATAAAGCTCAGGCATATGACACCCTCAATGACCTCTGCACTGTGCTTAACCTGCAATGCCACCTCTACAAGTACAAGGATGCATTTATTCGAGGACAGTGAGCGAATACCTGAGCAAATGGAATTATCCATAACACTGAACATCACATTGACATGTTATCACTTAAGTATTCTACCTTTAGAGATGCACTTCTGAATCTGGCAGCAAGGCTGGGCAAGAACGATGACTGGGAGAGAAGCCTCAAGCCACTCAACAAGAAAACAGATGCAGTCCCACTCAAGCATGATGATGGCTGCACAGTAGGTCAGCAAAGTATATTATGGATCTGGAAGACTTTGGGCTCCAACAGCAACAGCCTAGGGCTACAGGACTGTAAGTAGGCTCTAACCACTGGTACATCTCGCTGACATGGCCATTTTATAGCACTATGTGTTGAATGGTGTAAGGCATGAGCATGAGCTCATCGCTGGCAAGAAGAAGTGCAGCTACTGTGGGAGGAAATGTGTCATGTCATTGCATTTCTTGACTGGTAGGCTGGCTGGTGGGAAAAGCAAGGTCCATGGTATGCTTTTAGCTCACAGCACTATCAGAGAGGGTGCACTTGCCTATGCACAATGCCAGGGCCATCTATGCTGAAAAATGGCTGTCCACTTCAAATCTGTGTGGGCAGCCAATCCTTCATGGCAAGAAGCTCCCCCTCTTACAGTCACTCTTCATTCCAGTAGTGTCCATCATGACTCAATTTGAGGGCATGGATGATGAGGACAATTATAGTCTATTATATCTTTACATGCTGTTAATAAAGGATGAGCTGCAATGAGAGAACCATAGTATTGTTTGTGGGACAGGCAGAGTGCCTACAAGAGAAAGGTGATATATCACATGAGCTTCAAAGGGAGGCTTGCATGATATATCACTTTGAAGTTCAGGTGTATCATGTGGGCAGGCTTTGAAGGTGATATATCATGTGAGCTTCGAAGGGAGGCTTGCATGATATACAGTGGCTCAAAAAAGTGTCTCAATGTTTGTGACTTTTCATGTAATTGCTGTACTATGAGCTAGGGTGTGAGAGTATGACTAAGCCATAGGGAGGTGTGGGAAAGCTCTGCTTCTAAGCTTCATGTTTGATCCCTCTAGCGTGAGAAAATTATGTCATCAAGTGAAGATATGGTTAATTTAATTTGGTGGCTCATTGAGACACTTTTTTGACTTTCAGTTTGACCAACACAATCTCTATAATTCTGGTACTTGGTGTTTCCTCCTGTTGCTCTAATTACTTCCACCACTCTTCTATGCATAATATCTATCAATTTGAGGCATTCCTCATCAACAATCTTGTCCCACTCTGCTGCAACTCTCTCCCACAGCTGAAATAGCCCCTATTGTTATTATCATCAGCTTTTCTAATCTGCATACCAGGCAGATTACTACCAAAACTGGTCTGAGCAGGGCTACTATCATTAGGATCATAAAAAAGTCATGTCAGATAAGAAAAATATCAAACTAGATTGTCCTTTCAAGCTTACACCATATAACAAAAAATCTCTTGTTCATAATATTCCAACTAGGCAGGCTGCCAATGCTACTCAAGCCACCAAATTTATTAATTACATCATCTACACTGCTCTCTCCACTCAAATAGTCAAGAATACTCCTAAGGCAGCCAATCTTAAAGCTGTAAACAGGCAGAAAAAGCCTTTCCTGTCTTCAGCCTACAGAAGGAGGAGACCAGCCTTGGCTTTAAAGCCTCAATATTGGATTGTTGAGGACTGGAATTGGGCTACCTGGTGAGATGAGACAAAAATCAATAGGATGGGGTCAGATGGCTAGGAATATATGTGATGAAAGGCAGAAGAACTACTAGAACAAAAAAAAATCAAGAACACACTAAAGTATGTAGAGTAGGAAACTTGATGGTATGGTGTTGTATGAGGTGGAATGGAGTAGGAATTCTCTATGAGGTGAGGGTGACAATGAATGCAGAGCAGCACACTTCAATTTTGGAAAAGTATCTGCTCAGAAGCATGCAAGAATCACAAATTATTAAATAAGACATTACCTTCTAACAAGACAATGTCCCTAAGCATACTTCAAGTTGACCATAAAATGGTTTGAAAACCATGGCATCAGTGTGCTATCATGGCAAGTCCAGTCCTTAGACCTCAACCCTATTGAACAGCCCTGGTAATTACTCAAGATATCACTTGCAGTCTATCAAGATCCTCAATAGGGGTTATTTCAGCTGTGGGAGAGAGTTGCAGCAGAGTGGGACAAGATTGTTGATGAGGAATGCCTCAAATTGATAGATATTATGCATAGAAGAGTGGTGGAAGTAATTAGAGCAACAGGAGGAAGCACCAAGTACTAGGATTATAGAGATTGTGTTGACCAAACTAAAAGTCAAAAAAGTGTCTCAATGAGCCACCAAATTAAATTAACCATATCTTCACTTGATGACATAATTTTCTCACGCTAGAGGGATCAAACATGAAGCTTAGAAGCAGAGCTTTCCCACACCTCCCTATGGCTTAGTCATGTGCTCACACCCTAGCTCATAATACAGCAATTACATGAAAAGTCACAAACATTGAGACACTTTTTTGAGCCACTGTATCACTTTCAAAGTTCAGGTGTATCATGTGCCAGGCAGGCTTTGACAACAGGAAGGTGATATATCACACAAGCTTTGAAGAGAGGCTTGCATGATATATCACTTTGAAGTTCAGGTGTATCATATGGGCAGGCTTTGAAGGTAATATATCATGCGAGCTTCAAAGGGAGACTTGCATGATATATCACTTGCAAAGTTCAGGTGTATCACATGCTGGCAGGCTTAAACAACAGGAAGGTGATATATCATCAAAATATTCAATTACTGCAGCTATGGGGGAGGGAATACATGATATATTATATTCTACAAGTGATGTATCCTCAAAGTAACTGATATATCAAGGCTCTGTGGCTGTGATACATCATGGCACTATGATTGATGTATCATCTTCTCACACATGATGCTATAGACCAGGATATATCACCTCCCTTCTACCATGACAGCAATACAATACATCATAATGATATTATCACCTGGACCATACCCATTCCTGCAAGGGATTGTGCAGCCTCAACAGCTCACCAAAGTGGGACTTTACATCTCCTCCCTCCTTGCACCTGGTCTCCTGCATGCAGTGCTGTAGATCTATCTAAACAAGTTAGGTCTTGCCTTCATGGATCTGGCAGATCTCTGCCCAGACCTCATGTGCACCCTCCAGCTTTTGGATGTGCAACAGGAGCCAATTAGAGATCATGCTAAACACCTGTTACTTCACCAGTGAGTTCTTCTGGTGTAACTCATCAATTTTCTTATTAAGTTCATCTACTTCAGCCTCACTGGGCTAAGTCCCATCATCCTTTGTCAGGGCATTCATTTTCAGATCAAGCTTAAACATGACTGGTTTCTTTGCTTGACCATCAGTATACTGCACCAGACCTCACACACCTATTGCTGTTAATGTTCATTCCTTATAGGTAATCCAATTTGTGCCATCCTCAGCAAGTTTTGGGACATTAAAGACTGAGGAAGTGGTGCCAGGGAGCATAGTATCCATGGACAAGACAGGGTTCATAACCTCTCAGATTACTGTAGGAATCAACTCAATTCAATGGTCACATGTCACAGTCAGTAGTGCCATTGCTAAAATTAGGTAGTTATCACACATAACATACACTTGTGTCAAAATCATTTGATGTCACAACAAAATTGAAATTTGCTTCTATAATGACCCCAGATTTGCACAGCAGTTCTAACTATGTGAGTCTGACTTGTGCTGTATCTGTATGATGTATGTCCTGACTACTTGCAAAATCTAGCTCTTGTCATCATTGTGATGATACCAGAATGAGTGTGAGTATGAAGAATTTGTTTTTTTCTTTCTTCTCTCCCATCCTAATTCTACTGCATCTGCTAGGTTCTCACAGTCATTACCCACCTCCTCATGTACCATGTCCACCACAAAGTCCATGGTTTTGGCTTCTCCTTTGGAGGTAAGTGCTCTGACTGGTTCCTTAAATCCTGTATGAATGTCACCACTCAATATGTCTGCAACAACAGATGAACAGGGCACATCAGTATCATCACCCTCTGGGAGACCATCAAGCCTGGCCTCATCATCAAGCTCCATGCCACCATCATCTTTCTCCTCTCCTTCTTGCCTGGTGAGTTCATCCCAAAACTCTGGTTCATTGTTCTTCAAATTCCTTAACTTCTCTCTTGCAGCATAACTTGTGAGACTTTGGTATGAGAGGTTAAAGTTATATGCATAGTACATCTCAAATAACTAAAACAGAGTTTTTAGTACCTCAATACAATGGTGACTCCTTTTACTTACCTTTTTCACAATGTCTGGTGTGTTAACAGTGTTGAATACAGCCATGTTACACTGCAATCATGAAGGACAAGGTGTGTCTCCTCATGGTCAAGCTGATCCAATATTTCCAGGACTACATTACTATGATATGAGCATTTCAAGGAGTATTTGAAGACTCACTGGGTCCTGACATCACATGGCTGAAACAGTCCAGTGCAACCTCCAGGTATGTAGTGCAGTCCAATAGTTGGATGGTGTATCTTCATCCATGAATGAAACTCCTCTGACCTGTGCATGGACCAGACATCAATTTGCCAGATTGTCTTCTGTATCTGTGGCAGACCTAGCTCCTGCTTCTTCTGCTTAAAGTAAGGAGAAATTATGTTGTTGACAAGGGAGTGCATAGTTACATGTGTTAACCAATAGGTTTTTGTATTCAAATGTTCAAATTGAAATCCAGCATTGATACAGTTTTTGTAGTTCAGTGCAGACTGGTTTAGGTGGGACCCTTTCAAGTAACCTTAATAGATAGCTTGCAGGGGTAGGAGTGTGCTATTATTTGAAATAGAAACCATGATGGTAAATGCATGTTTTTTGTCATTGCCAACAGTTGATATTTGCTTCACTCCAGTTTTTACCCATGTCAGTTGAAAACCTTGTGCATATGCAACCTGTGTCTGGTCAGAATTAATGTAGAGCACAGAGGGGATATCTTCCTCTTTGATGGTATATGCTAATCAAAGGAAAGAGCACTTGCACAATTACTCCCAATTTTCAGGTATCTTTTGCACAGCTCAAGTTGCCTATCTCTCTGACCAATCCAGGGTATGGTGTAACCAGTGTTGCACAAATGCATCAGAGCACTGAAATTAGGATCTGTCTTTCACTTGCTAATGAAAGACCTGTGATGCCAAATCTGACATGACAGCAATCATGATGGCTCAAATGGTCACAAGGGTAAGCATGACTCCACCTTCCCAGAGTCCTTCCAAACACTTGATGATAACTTGCTCAACAGCTGGGTAATTCATCTAAATTGTATCAGGGTGCATTTATGATAAGATAGTCAGTATACATACCAAGATCCCCTTTGTACCTCCTTTCAAGTGGCCCTGATGATTACCCAGCTCTGCCATATGAACTGCGGCATGTACCCATCTTGGCTTTCCTATATGATTGATCCAGCCCTTAACTGTTGATTGTGCAAGGCCTTTAAAAATTATCAGGTCTTTCTGCTGTAAGTATCAAACAAGATGTGACAAGCTCCACATGACTGATGAATGTGTAGCAGCATTATTGATTTGAGCCCATATAAACAGGCCATGCCAGTTATGGTAGACTGCATCCTGCTTTTCATGTATGCATTTTCATTCAGGTTGATGCTTTGCGTTCTGACACTGATGCTCACATTCTCTTGCAGCTTGATTGGGTCTTGATAATTCTGCAATAGAGGTTTGTGCTCATTTTACTGTACTGTCTTTCATGGCTGTCATATCCAGTACACATCACTGATGTCTCATTAGCCATATGCTTAGGTTGGAATTTGATAGTTGCATACCTTGAGATTCCACTTGGTCCCTCCAGGACTTTGCTCACCCCTCACAATTTTGTCCTGACACTGCTGCTGGCAATGTTTCTGCTGCTTTTTCTTATTCTCTTCTCTAACCACCATTTGCTGCCTTTGGTCTGCCATCTCCTGATACTCCTGAGCCTATTGCCATCCCTTGTCCAGTTTGGCTTCAACTGTGGTGAGTTGAACACAAAATTCTTCACATGTACAAGGCTTTAAAAACCTCATTAGGCCACATGCACATCCAGCCTTTTGGTCTTCAATAGCATCATGAATTACTAATTGGCATGACTCTTTGGTATGTGGTTTCTTTTTGAATAGAATGGCCAATGTCTCTGATTCATGCATGGTTAAGCTCAATTTGACCAGGGTGCTTGATTTCTCTAACTCTTGGTTGTTGGCAGTCAGAATAGGTAAGTCAACATCAACTTTGCTAGCCAATATGGAATTCTAAAGGAATACAAGGGCTCATAATATTTTTCAGCTAAGCTACATACCTGATTGAGGTGTGGGTCAATCACATCTACCATGACTTTGAGCTTGCCAATCCTCACTTGTGAAGCTGTGATCAAGGGGTATTCTGAGGGGAGAATATGATGTATGAGTGCATTGAATGAGAGAAGCCTGCATGAGAAGCTATCCTTCTGGTGGGTGATGATAAGTGATTTTTTCTCAAAATATTGACCAGTGTGATGGTGTGTCCATCAGTGTAGCACTGCAAGGAATCCAATCAGAGGCTTTGTGTAGATTGAATCACCATAGAAGATTGTAGAGGATTCAAAGTCAATGATGACTGTAATCCAGTGGTTTTCATTGATGTTAACCAAGAATCCAATGCAACTGCCAAGGCCTGAAGCCATTGCATCTCCTGTTTCACATGCACATACAAAATAGTGGCCTTCATATTATCCAGAGCCATGTATTTCATACACCTTCTTCAAGAAGCCATAGAAGTAAGTATTCTCAATCTCAATCTTTTGGCTTTGTGGCTGACACTGAATTCTCCTCTGCAGTAGGTCAAGCATCTGATTCTTGTGGACATCAGACAGCTAATCATTAGTAGCATATACTGCTAGCTCAACAACTGGCTCCACAACAGCAGAACCATTAAGTGTCCCAGACCAGGAAATGCAGGTGAGAGCATTATAAATCTTCATAACCAATGTTTGAGCTTCTTCACCCCTCTTATTTTTCCATAGCTGAGTCCTCCTTTCTATGTTTTGCTCAGCTCAGATCCATGGTTCAAGATATTTGTGATGAAGCATTACAACTTCACACCAATAGGTGAGAGTTGTGTCTTACTAGCATCACCAGTAAGATGTGCACACTTCAACAAAAATGCTCCATTCTCTATGGCCTCAGAACTTGGTTTTGAAAGCATGTCAAGTACTTGTGTCAAGGGGATAGGCAAGTCTTGTATGAGCTGTGCATTATCAAGGGATGGCTGATCTTTGGAGAAGAATGCTTTGATGGTAACATGTTTTGTTGTGACCATAATGGCAGGTAATTTGAAGGACAAAAATTCAAGCACAGATAGGCTTTTTTGGGGGAGAATCCAAGCAAGCATATCTTTTGGTAGCTCTAGGAGGGGGTGCATCACAATGTGTTGAGGGGCTTTACCAATGACATTCATTTCTGTTGTCCTTGACTGAGTCCAAAATGAAAATATTTTGTACCTACTATCACACTCCTGCCTAATTTGTAATTCAATGTATTGAAATATTTGGTATGTCATGTGTCATATGCCTAAGTGTCAGAATGTTGAATTGAGTTAATTCTTACATTATGAGACAAAGGTGGGAAGCAGGAGCACTAGAAAGACAAGGTATAATCTCAATTTCTGTTCAAGAACTCTTATTAACATGTGGTATACCTAGAAAGACAAGGTATACTACACTTTTCATCAGCTGGAGCTGATGTACATAATATACTACTCACATCTCAGTTTCCATTCAAGAACTGAGATGTCCAAATGCTAGTGTGGGTTACTTTATAGTGAGTGTATAAGGAATAAAAATAAACAAAATGTTGACATATATTTCAGGGTGCAGTGCAACACCAGTGCAACACTGCCCATTGGCCACATCTGGCCTTGCACTTGGACCACCACTCTTATCATCTTCCCCTCATACCTATCTTGGATCCTTCAGTCCTCTGTGTCCTCTCCTCTCTTGGATTGTTCAGATTCCAACAGTTCATGGCACTACCAACCACCATGCCTTCTTTCCTGGCTAGCCAATGGCCTGCCACTGGAACTTCAAACACTGAGCAGAGGAACAGCTACCCAAGAAACATGATATCAGCATGAGACAATGGGGTAGGAGGATCAAGGGGAATGAGGGTGATGTGAACAAGGTAAGCCAGGAAAGAAGATATGTGCAGGAAGATGAGGAATGGATGTAATGACAGGTGGGTGAGGTATTTGAGCAGCTCAGGCATGGTTGAGATGAAAGATACTATTAATATCCTTCCTTAGGTGAGCTGCACCTGCAAGTGGGTGATTCAACTCTGCTTGAATTTGCTGAGCTTGCTGAGGGATACCTAGACTTTGTACCAAGACTAGCCAGAACTCTGACATTCACAGACATCACTACTATTGTTAAGTGTTCACATCAGCAAATCACTTTGCCTCTGTGAGCTCTGTACAGCTCTGTACAGAAGGGACCAAGCTGTGGCCAGCCATTTTTTGGTGGTGGGAAAAAAAGTGTTTTACTGATGCATTTCACAGCTTTGCAGATGAGTAGTGGGACTCAAAGTAGTTTTCTAAACTCGCTAAAATTCACTAAGAAATCATTCAAGTTTAAGAAAAAGCTCTGCCTTAGATGGCCAGCATAGATTGGACTTCGAAACCATACTTGTGCATTTGGAAGAGATAATGGGAGTAACATGCATGATAAAGGACATAGAAATATTGTAACTAGTCTGTCAGCCTCCACCTGCCCAAATAACAGAATCCCAGCAAGGTATATGTACTGTGCCAGGAGGGAAACAACAAATGGATACTGGGAACTGGACAAATTGCACAAGTGCATGGGTGAACAAAGTAAGTGCCATAGGGAGAGGGGGAATGGGCTAAGTGCTAACAACACATGCTTGGAGGAATAGACCAAGTGCCAGCAGCATATTTGCTTGGGTGAGTGGGCTGAGCACTTGGGGGAATGAGCTGAGTGCTGGGGGGAATGAGTTGAACACCAGCAGCATATCTGCTCAGGTGGAGTGGGCTGAATGCTTGGGGGAATAAGCTGAGCACTGGCAGCATATTTGCTCAGGTAAGTGGGCTGAATGCTTGGGGAATGAGCCAAGTGCCAGCAGCATATCTGCTTGGGTGAGTGGGCTGAGCACTTGGAGGAATGAGCCAAGTGCTGGGAGGAATGAGTTGAACACTGGCAGCATATCTGCCTGGGTGGAGTGGGCTGGACACTGGGGGTAATGTGCCAAGCGGTGGCAGCACATCTGCTCAGGTGGTGTCATATGCCATTCCAGACTCTCAACTCTAAATCCACTTCTCCAGGTATCCAGGTCCAAGATCCAGATCTCAAATGATCTGATCTATCTTTATCTCCCTTCCAAAATCCAAACCCTATATCAGCGCCCAACCCCATTTAGACTGCCCCTGTCTCTGGACTCCAGTTAACCATGTTTCCCTTTTGATTATTGATCCATTACATACATTTCATTTCCAGTGTTCATTATTTGTGATCTGTCCTACTTACTAATAGACTTTGCATATGCTTCAGTACATAGCCTTTATGTTTGCTGACTGATTCCTGTATGATACCTACAGTATATAAACCTCCTGTAACTCTCAGAAATACTCCAGTTCAAATATCATCTTAGTTCCTGCTCATTCCTGTGTTCTCTGGACTCGAGATAAGTCTCTTGTCATATTCCAAGTCTTAGGATTGCATCCTAGACTACATTTCCAACTCTACCTTAAGGTAGTCCATCCTCTGTTAGTTTCTAGTCTGGACTTCATCTGGATTAGTCTTATCCACTTGCCCAGGTAACATCTGGATGTCTGTTGGATTTATCCCACATTTCAGATCTGGACATCCATTGTCTGCCCTAGTCAAATCCTGGAAACTCTGGATGACTGTTCTAGCCCCCAGAAATTAAGGGCACATACTCAGGAAAGGGGCACAGCATATGAGCTGAGGCCAAGCCCTTGTGATCCGACCCCCTTGAGCAGGTGACCTTAACAGGTGGAGGGACTAGCCTCCCCATGTGGATCAGAGGGGGCTATGAGGAATGAAAGGTAAAGATGTTTGTGATAGTATTGGTGCTATTGTTGAGGTGGTGAGAGGTTCTGGCATTTGTAGTGGTATTAGAAGTGAAAGGTATTGACATTTGTGGTAGTATTGGTGTTATTGTTAGGGATGTCAGTCTTCAGGGAGGCAATAGATGAAGATGTGTTGGATCCTGTTGGCAGTGCCCAGGGAAGGGGTTATACACTGCATAGGTATCTCCCAGGGGCATGGTTGCTCACTGTCATCCACAACAAGCATCACCAGTGAGACTTAGCATGCTGACCATGGCAAAAATTAAAACTCAGATTAAAACTCTGCTTATCAGTCACACATCAATCAGGGGGATGATAAGGGCACACATCTCTCAATCTCAAGCTGTTATCATGCCTTGCACATCCTGCCACCAAGATCTCCTTCATGCAGTTGATAAAGCTGCACTGTCATTAGCCCAACTCCAATATCAGCAGGTATTGGAAGCTCAGGAGTCCAGCTCCAATTCCAGCTCTAATTCCAACTCCAATTCCAACTCTGATTCCAACTCTGATTCAAGCATGGACATCACCTCTTCACCCACTCTTTCCTCCAACTCCTCCAGGTGAATTTTCTGATGAGATCACTGCACATTACAATCAGCTCTGTCATCAAATTGCAGCCCTCTGTGATGAGGTTACAAGGGCATGTGTATTTCACAAGCCTGATGAGCCTCCCCCACAAGCCCCCCAGCTGCACATGCTTGTTCATCATGAAAAACACCACCCTTATTTATTTTGGCAGAAGCTACATGTTGACCCTATCATTTTTGATGATATCCTTGATCAGATCTCTGATCATCATATCTTTTCCAACCAATCCAATAATCCTCAGCTTCCCGTCTCCATCCAACTTGCTATCTTTCTCAATTGTGCTGGCCACTATGACAATGCAATTTCTCTTGAGGATGTTGCCCAATGGGCAGGTATAAGTGTTGGGTCAGTTGTGAATTGCACTAATCGTGTAATGATCACACTGCTTGACCAGCATGACAATTTTGTTGGTTTCCCACATCTTGATTCAGAGGATGCCAATCTTGCTCAGCAATATGCAGAGTCCAAACCTTGTCCTGAGTGGCGCAATGGCATTTTAGCTGTTGATGGCACAACAGTTGACCTTTATGCCAAACCTGCCCATTTTGGTGAGACATTTTATGATAGGAAATCTAATTATTCTCTTGGCTGTCAGGTATTTTTCCCCCTCCCTTTATTGTTAACAATTAAATATTTTTAGGCAGTTATTATGCCTCATAACCTTGTCATTGTTGATTATGCTCCTGGTCATCCTGGAAGTGTCCATGATGCCTATGCTTTCTGATCAACTCATCTCTATCAACAGCATAAAGCCCTTCTGCCAGATGATCATTGGATTTGGGCTGACAGTGCATACCCACTTGAGAAGTGGTGCATAGTCCCTTTCAAGAAGCCCCACAATGGTAGGTTGACTAAGGACCAGAAGACATTTAATTATCATCTTTCCATGGTGTGCTCATATTTTTCCTATTTTTCTGATAATTTGGTTACTGATTTTTATTTTTATTTAGGTTCATGTACATGTTGAGCATGCATTTGCTGCTGTTAAGGGGCAGTTTCAGTCCCTTCAAGAGCTTTGCCTCAATATTCACATAGAAAGAGAGCTTCAGATTGCTGTCCATTGGATTATGTGCTGCATCATCTTGCACAACATGATCATTTGATTTGAAGCTCACTATCATGAGCAGGATCCAAAGTTCCATCATTCTCATAGGTGGGCTGAATGGGAGGCCAGAGAATTTGCAGCTAGAGAGACTGAAGACCCTGATGGAGATGAAGTTGTGGGTGACAGGTCATATGAGGGTACTCCAGGCAAGCTTCTCATTTGAGGATGATGGATCAACTGTTTGACAGTCCTTACTCAAGAGCTGAACATAGGGAGGGGTAACTTGAAAGAACCAGGATCACATTGGCAACCAGAAGACACATGTACTACTACACTACAACAGATTCAAGAAATGTACATACAAAATGACATGTCAAAGATTTTTTAAAAAAAAACAGCAACAGCAACACACAATCAGGATGATGGTGATGAAGACAAGGGACTAGGAACATCTCCACCTGCAGCACGCATCATCATAGTCTTGTATTGTATCTTGAGGTGCCAAGTCTCAGTCTCCTTCTCCTGCAAGGCGGCTGTGGCCTGAAGACAGAGGATCTCCTTGTCCTTAGCCTCCTGCTCGTGTTGGTGCATGGTGGCCATGGAGATGATTTCATGTGAATGGAACTCACAGCACCATTGGTATTCCTTCTTCTGGGATTAGTAGTTCATCTTCAGGGCATAGTGCTCATTCCTCAATTCCCGGCGCTCAGACATGTCACTGTGCATGCTCTTAATCTCATCATTGAGCATGCTGATCTGACCCTCCATGTCCACCACTGAAGTCCTCTTCTTCTTCAAGCTCACAGAGCTCTGTGGCTTTGCAGAAAGAGACATTTGTGATGCCGTTGGCAAAATCCAATAATCAGATGAAATATAGGCCAATGAAGATGTTGTGGATGATGGGGAGGAGTGGCTGCACAATATTCCCAATGACAGAGGAAGTTTGAGTGGTGCATGGCTGCCAGGCGAGGCAGAACCAAATGCCTCACAGCTGTGGTACATAGGCGTCTGTGCCTTGCATGGGAGAATGAACGAATTTGTGCTGGCACAAGGTGGAGATGGAGAAGCTGCATACTGTCGCTTATGGCCCACTACCTTGGGGGGACTGTCAAGGCTGATGACACAACACCAGGAGGAGTTAACCTCCAGCCCATCATCATCATCATCACCACACATCTCAAAATCCCTATCCAAGGTATCCAATGCATTTCCTAGAGGAGTGCCAAAAGGGCCATCATTATTGTAATCATCATCAGCATGAGGGTCATCCTCCATATCACCATCAGGATTGTCAATTGGACCACCCCTAGCACCAGGCTGGGGAAGATTGGGAGGATACTGCAAAGGGGGGAGGGTACTGCAATGGAGGGGGGGGAGGATACTGCAAAGGAGGGGGGGAAGATACTGCAAAGGAAGAAGGGGAGGATACTGTGAAAAAGAGGGGGGAATGGGCTGAGCACTTGTGGGAATGGGGTGGACCTCAGGATGAGCAGCATGTTGGTGAGACAAGGGACCAGCCGCCCTGCATGAATTAACAAGCATGTAGAATTCTGCTGTGTGGTCAATTCCTGGTTGGGAGGTGTAGACTTTGGCACCACATGTTGGATTGGAGAATAACAAGGGGTGGAGTAGGTCATACCACAGAAAGTCCTGTGGCACTTGTTCTGGAAATAAAATAAGTTAAATAAAATAGAACAGTGAAAAAAAACACTCGCTGTGTAAATTAATAGCCCCATTTTCATCAAGTGGGGTGATGCCAGCACCAGTCCTATTGAATTTGTTGAGCTGCTCCTTGAACAATTTCTTAAGACTTTTAAAAATTGAATTAGTAGCTACAGATGTGAATGATAGAGATCACTTATGAAGCAACATGATTGCCCACTGCTACATCAAATTTTTTCAGATCTTCAGCATATGCAGCTGAATATTCACTATCCATCGTGAAGATGAGTTTTGCCATGAATTGATAAACTTCCCCTTTCTCCTTGCCAGAAGGACGGTCCTCATTGCTGGAACTTGAAGCAGCAGATTTTTTACCCTCATAGAATAGTATGCGGATGTCCGCAGGGTTAGTGGTGAGATGTTGCACTAGAGTATCTGTGCAATGAAGGTCTTGGAGTCTCGTCCAGTGAACAATTATCTTTGTAGTAGTCCTAGGAGCCTGGGGATTAGCTCCATGTCCTCAACCTTTCCCTCTTCTGGAGGATGTGGATGGTTGGGGAAGCTCCATTGCCTTTAGGTGAGGTCGAGCATTGACTTGTAACCTTGCAGAACAGCGTACACATTGACAAGCAGGAGGCATTGGAGTTTAAGCTCCGATTTGCAATGCCAGCCAACTCCATCGTTTGGCTGTGCTAGAGACCACTACTACTAGTTTAGCCGGCCCTTTACCAAGCATTTTAGCGAGTTTAGAAAACTACTTTGATTCCCACTAGTGTTTAACGGACGGAGTTGGAAATTGCTTACGGACAGCAGCTCCTCAGCACATAAGATTTGGGCATATCTGAAATTCTAGATGCTGCGGACAGTCACCCAGTGTCTCAAAATGGGGGTACATTAGCTGGAGCTTCCGCCTGGTGAATGCCGCATCAAAAATATGACCTTTATTGGTCAGTCGCCTAATCAGACCTAAAAATGGCATAACTTTGCGTAGTTAATCCAGTGTGTGATTGATATCGATGATCACGGTGGAAACGCAAGCAACACTATACATAATCCGAATAACCTACTAGTGTCTTATCGGCGTTTGGACTGTTTCAGCGCTCTCAGGCCCTTCTTCAAGTTCTGACACGGGTTTGGGTGAATACAAGAATCAAGGACCTTGAAATCAGGAATCCTGACAAACACGTGGACAGCAGTTCTATGCACGCCGGCGCACTCGGTGAGTTCTGCGGTTGAACGAGCCATCGAGGAAGCTAGTAACACTAGACATGGGTACAGATTTCCAACCAACCCGGGAGAGCACACCCCCTCCGAATGTGAGCTACCAGCAATCGGTGCTCGGTCTTGCCCCCAATGTACATCCTCTTGTAAGCTGCAATACCTCAACAATATTCGTCGTCTCTTTACTCGCTAGAAATCCCATAAGAACCCCTTCCCCTTCATTCTTCGCGCCGCAGCCGTATACCCGGACAAACTTGCCATTGCTCATCCTGACGTGAAACATCCTGCGTTCTATACCTATGCCGTTTGGTGAGGCCCTTGGGCTTCGTCGAGAACTAGTCTGACAGCGGCAATAGGGCTCAGCGCATTCAGAATATGGCATATGCTCTTATACAAGCAGGCATCCGCCCAGGTGACCGCGTTGCAGTTATAACGCCCAACTGGTGAGTTCTGCTGTATCACGCGCTTGACGCATCTCACATAGGAGCACGATAGTCCCTTGATTGCAGGTATAACCTCCATTTTATCACTCCTGGCAATAATGAAACACCCCGGGTAGATGCTCACTTTGGCATTCTTGCTGCTCGCGCTATCGTCACACCTGTAAACACTCGTCTCACACCCCCTGAGGTCTCATACATTCTGGAACATAGTGGATCCAAACTTATCCTCATTGATCGCGACTTCACGCATCTCATTGAGAATATTAATATTCCTACGGTTGTTTGTCATGACACAGGCAGAGCTAGGCGACCCATATGAAAGCTTCCTTAGTGCCGGCAGAGTATTCAGTGCAGAAAAGGGGTGGGCTGGCTTGGACGTTGAGCCGGACGAGAATGCCGGTGCAGTTTTATGCTACACGTGAGTCACAACTCTGTTATGTGGTTTGGCCAAGATGTAAACACATTTTTACAAGGTCGGGAACTACAGGTCGTGTAAGATTCGCCTATGTCTGCAGGTAAAAGTAGTTGCTCATTTTGCATAGCCAAAGGGCGTCCTCACCACGCTACGTGGTATGCTCTATCCACTTACTACACGTTTATTTGGTTGATGCTATTGTCCAACTAGGCTCTTACTTGGCAGCAATAGGGAATGTTGTTGAGGGACAGTGCGTGCCTCTGTCTTGCTGTATCCTTCTGACAAGCTCACCAGTGGGATTTACAGGATAAGTCGTGAGTCGACGTACTTGTGGTAAGTTTTATGTGGTTACATGAACAGTCGAGAATACAACGAACTGCAGGATTCTTCCAATGTTCCATGCAGCTGGTTGGACATACCCATGGGCAAATGTCTTCGCATGCGCGACACAGGTGAGCAGAACACGATGTTATGTTTATAACCACGAACCATCTTATCTTCTTATTCCAGATAACTATGCGCTCTGTTGATTACCCACTTATCTGGAAGCACTTCCTGGATTCCGGGGTAACTCACTATTGTGGTGCACCCACTGTCCAGGTTTGTGCGCCGCACAGGGACAGGGATTAGTCTGATGTGTCGATAGATTGGAATTGTGAACGACCCCGCTGCTAGACCTCTTCCTCGTACTATATCCGCAGTTATTGCAGGGGCCGCACCCACTGCTCACCTCATCAGCCAACTCGAGCAAAAGGGAATCAAGCCTGTACATGTATACGGTTTGACGTAAGTCCAGCATAGTGCTTAACTTGTGCCCAAGCTGATTCGTTCTTCCATCATCGCCAGTGAGGTGGGTGCTTCGGCATTGTTTAGGGAAGTGGCAAGTCTGAACATACTCCTTAAAGACGTATGGACCCTTTACGCGTTGTTATGACCAACCTCACTGGAAGACGCTTACTTTGGAACAACGTGCGAAGCTGATGGCTCGACAAGGTCAAAGCTTCGCCACCGCACAAGATGCACGCGTAGTATATCCTCCACAAGACGAAAACGACGAAGAACTCCGTGACGTTCCGAAAGACGGACGCACGGTGGGTGAGGTTCTCATGCGCGGAAACATCGTCATGAAGGAGGTGCGTTTTTCAGCAGTTGTACCAAAGTTCTCGAATTCATTCTAGGCGTTTGTTGCATAGTATTTCCGCGACCCAGAAGCCACGCGTAAGGCTTTTCAGGGGCGCCACTTTCACTCAGGTGATCTAGCCGTCTGGCATCCCGATGGTGTCATTCAGGTCGTTGACCGAAGCAAAGACCTGATTATCTCTGGAGGCGAGGTGAATAATTATCCTTGCGGTGATTCAATACGCTAACCTGAAGACCGCAGAATGCATCAAGCTTGGCCATAGAACTAGGTATCTTTGCATTCGAATGGCTACCAAGTTGTAGACCCTGACCGAACTACGCAGAGCTTTCGAGTCACCCGCATGTTTTAGAGGTATCTGTCGTCGCCCGCTCGCACCCCAAATGGGGTGAGCGTCCCATGGCATTCGTCGTTCTTCGCCCGGAGCACGCCGCCAAGTGGAAAGACAATCATGGCGGCTTCGCTACTGAGCTGATCCGCCACGCTCGAACACTTTTACCCGGCTTTGCGTGCCCAGAATGGGTGCAAATGGTGGACGAATTACCCGTCAGTCAGATGCATAACATCCACATCTCGGTGGGCGCTTACAAGTCTTACAGAAAACATCCACGGGGAAGATCCTCAAGACCAACCTTCGCAAAGTCGTGGCTAAACTGTGATCTTAATGACCTAATACTGATGTGAGGATCGTTGGTATGTACCGGTACATACTTATGCTCGATTTGTCAAATAAAGGGTGTGAGTGATAAAACAATAGCTGAGTGGGAAATATTATCTAGGCGTCGCAGTATCCGGAATACAACAGTATTGCGTTCGTATAGGCATACCTTGTCTCCCTGACGCCCAAGAAAGAGCACCTCTTAAGGTCGGGCAATAACGTCTGCCCGGATCGAGATCGGAAACGTCAGTTGGTTTGTGGTTCGGTAAAATAGAAACATACCCTGTGAGCCATGTGTTCGGCATCTTCTTTATCAAGGCCAATAGCGATTTCATTGTCTCCCCGAACCCATACAATGATATAGATGCCTGGAGTCGCTGATTTGCGTTCGATGCTCAATGATGAATTCACGTGAAGCATCGCATAGATCATGTCGTGATTATAAGGAAGTGCTGTGATGGATTGTCCAACGGAGAACTTTGATCAAACAATCCTAGGATGCTTCATGGATGGCGCTTGGTGTATTGACAAGAAGAGTGTTCATCGACATTGTAAGTCAACCTGACCCAATTAGTATATTTTGACTGAAACGGAAAGAAGATTGATTTAACATACCTGGGCTTGGACACCAGCCCGTTTCAGTACTTCTTCCGTGACTTCGTATTCCCGTGCATCAGTACCATGGAATTCCTCGAGATCTGGTAAGCATGGGCATTGAATAATTGTAAAGTGCTACACACCATTCTGCAGCCTTTCTCTACAGTCTTTTTAGTTATTTCTTTCAAAACAATTCGCGCATATTCGAACATCGATCAGAACAAATTAATTCTTTACTTCTCATGGAATATACTTCAGGTAAGACGATGATAATGAATGGACTGTTGGAAGTTATCATCATGCGAGTCATCATACAAAGGATTCGAGATCTCCGGCGATAGCCGCAGAGGTGTGCAACTCGACTGGTTTCAGATTGTCCTGTCGAGCCTCTTGGATAGGGGTTGGCAATGTCTTCAAGCCTGTTGCGCACTTAGTCTTGCCCAGTTGTGAAACTGGTGTGAGTGATTTCAGACTGATTTTGGACTTTTGATCATTTTCTGTAGAATGAGTCACTCCAGGTGTAGAGCCAGTGCTTACCAAGGCTACAGTAGACATGACAGTAAGATGGAGCTGGAGGTTTGAGGTCACGTTAACTCCGAGTCATATTTAGGGTTAGCTATCCGAGTTAGGGGTAGTGGGTTAGTAGTAGTTAGCTCCACAGCTCGAGTTAGCCTTCAGTTTTAGCTCTGATCGGACTAATGGGCTTTCATTGATATTTGGGAGCCTTGGCGGAACACTCGTTACCTTCGTATCGTCCACCCAGGTGACCGCGTTGCAGTTATAACGCCCAACTGAGCACGCCCCCAAAGTGGGAAGACAATCATGTTGGCTTCCCTACTGAGCTGATCCGTCACACTCGAATACCTTTGCCCGGCTTTGCGTGCCCAGAATAGGCGGAAATAGTGGAAGAATTATCCGTCAGTCGTATGCATAACATCCACCGGGAAGATCTCAAGATTAACCTCGCAGAGTCGCTGCTAGACTGTGATCTTAATAACCTAATACTGATATATTGTGAGGATCGTTAATATGTATCGGTACATACTTATGCTCGATTTGCCAAATAAAGGGTATGAGTGAGTGATAAAACAACAGCTGAGTGGGAAATGTTATCTAGTAGGCATGATAGGTTCAAAATGATCACGACAAATCGGGACTCAGTCGCAGTATCCGGAATGCACCAGTATTGCGTTCGCATAGGTATACCTCGTCTCCCTGACGCCCAAGAAAGAGCACTTCGTCTGTGCTCTCGGTGTCCCCATCTCCCGTACCATTGAACTCTGCTCTCGCGGGAGATTTCCCAGTGGTGTGGCTTGGTTTCCTCCCAAGATAGCCTGACCCTTTGGTCTTTGACGACAAGGCTGTAGCACTTGATGTAGAGGAACCGATAGGAGTGCCTATCTTCCAAACGAATGGTCCACGTCTATTGATATTCGATGGCGGCGGCGCGAATTGGGGTAACAAGGTACGCGACTCATCTGCGGGTTTGAGCAACGCGTCACCGAAATCCATTGCTTCCACGCCCCCTTGGCGCATAGCCACAAGGACAGAACGATCTTTGACGTCAAAAGCCTCGATACGCTTGACGTCTCCCATGCGGGGAATCATCTTCGACTCGTTATCGTTGTCCGTGCTCCAGACAAAGCGGCCTTTGAGGACAGCCCGACCACGAGCATCCACTATGGACGTGCTGTGGCCGCCACGCGAAGAGAAGAACAATGCAGGCGGGCCAAAGTGTCGAGGCTGGACGAGAAGAGATATTGGGGCTAAGAGAGGTTTGGCAGCATCCAACGCAGGAGGAGCGTGCTGGGCTGCCGACGGCGGAGTTGCTGACCGGAACGGATGGGAAGGATCAACGCATTGCTGTCTCAAATCCTTGAGCAACATGAACACTTTCTCCTCCTCTTTGCGAACGGGTAGATCTGGGGGAAGCAATCCATCCTTATACCACGCTTGCATAAGGCTTGCTTTCCAGGGCCCTGATCCTGATTAAGAACGTATTTCAAAAAAGTGACGTTTCGACATACCGTGCACGACTCCTTTCGGATCGCGGTAAAACCATCTGGAAGGCGGTGCTGGTGCTGGCATGGGTAGGCCAGGAGGTGAAAATTGGATGGACGCTAGGTCAACATTGGCATTACCCTGAGCATCGGGTTCATGTTCGGCACGGTAGTCAAGGAACTCGGGATATGTCGGTGGAATGATGTAGTCATCAGCGATAGTAGCCAAAGGCAACTTTGGCGCATAGGACAACTGTTGGAAGGTGGTATATGGTCCAAGAGGAGCGGAAGCTAGTGCTACAAGCTCTTCAGCATGTGCAAGTGCAGATCCAGGGGCACCACCAGTTGGTGTCTGCGAATGAGATACTGGCGCATCTGGGAGATTAGTATTGGAATTGTTCCTAGACGGATCGCCGGATGGTAATGAAAGTCGATTGCTGATACTGATGTTGGTATCTTCGTCATCCTGTGCAGGTGGGTCTGTGTCAAAGACATCTGGCTGACCCGAGCGTATTTCTCGAACTCTTCGCCGAGCTGCACGTCGCTCGGCTCGACCAATTCGGACTTCGCGAACTCTTACTGTGGCAGGTTCCAACCCAAAGACGTTCTGAGAAAAGACAAGAAAAACTTCTACAAGGTCATCACCCTGCAGTTGGAGCTCCAGAGAACGCGGTGAATCGGGAAGAATGAAGGTGCGAGAAAGACCCAAGGCAGTTCGATACGTCCCTGCAAAAAGCTCAACCTTTTCGCCATTATCTCCGCAGAGAATAGCGAGAAAGCTGCACAAGGTCTCAATAAATATCCGTGTGAGACTCTGGGTACTCACCTCTTTTTTGGCGTTTCCACGGCCTTGATGATAAGGGAGCCTTTCGTACCCGGTAGCTTCACGTAGTCCAGTTTTGGAGGAGGTAGAGGTGTTGTAGGAGTCTGTGATCCGTTCTTCCTTTCAGGCTCTGTGAATACCAGCGTTGGAGGTCGCTCGGCAGACCTCCTGGAACTGAATGCATTGCTTATACTGCGAGGAAGAAGGCGAAAGTGATTTGTCAGATGTGGAGGAGGAATGGGTAAAGGTGGTTGACTGGCAGCAGGAGAGACGCTATGTCCCCCTGACGTCGAAGGGCGAGGAGTAAGTTGAGGAGGTTCTAAGGGACGTGAACGTATGGAAGCTGAACGTGTCAAAGTCAGGGGTCTTTCGCCAGCCTCGGGTATGGGTATCGTCGAAGATGTTGGAGATGTGGGGGATCCCAGCGGAGTATCGTACATAACAGGGACATTAGGGTGGGGGGTGTTGGGCGAACCACTGGAGTTGAATATGCCGGCCAGTACTGACCATCTCCTTCGCCTTTCAGGACGACTCGCGATGCTCGGGCGGCCCAATGAAGAGCGACCGTCCTGCAATGAAGGACTGAACGGCGCGTCATCATCTGTACCCGACTGAGTTGCCCCAATCATAATCGGGGCTTGTGGTCTCGTTGTCCCTGCTGGTGGGAGGTCAGGGACTCTGCTCTCTAAAAGAGCCTGAGCAAGCGTTATACGGTCGATTGTACCAGTCGCGCCGTCGTCGTCGTCATCATCTATATCGATGTCTGGAACAGAATGTCTTTGAGATGGCCCATCGGCAGAAGCCGGCGTTGGAGGTGTTGTACGAATATTGGGTGGCGAACTCTGCAATGCTTGACGAATGGTCTGCAGGGTTGGAGATGGTTCTGGCGGTTGAGCTGGCATCGTGTTCGGTTGCGCCAGAGTCAGATCTAAGTTCGCGGGACGATTTCTTCGACTATATGTAGCTGAACTGCGCACAGGAAGTGACGTAGAACCACCTTCCACGGTATCGCTAGTTCGGGGTGGGGGAATAGCGCTAGTGCGTTCATCCAAAGCTTGACTCCCGCTTGCACCTGCGGTTAGCATGTCGATGGCCTCGTCGTCACTCGCCTCAAACCAATTTACAGTCTTGGCCATCGGGTCTTCCTGCTCCGTACAGGAACCTATATGGGGTAGGGGTGGAACAGGGGGAACAATTACGCGAGAAAGGGATGAACGACGGGACCTTGAAAGGTTTATTGAAATGGTGGATGCCTGCGTCTGCAAACGGGGTCGATTGGTTTCGGTTACTACAGAATAAGGTGGGGGTTGTTCGACTGGCTGGCGGGGCGTTACAGGTTGGAGTGTGGGTGGCCTGGGCAATTTCTGCGTTACAGCTGTGGAGAATGACGACTTCCTAGGAACCTTTTCCGTCTTGGGGACCTGGCCCGAGCGTGTTAACGACCTGAATTTCGTCTCGGTTGAATCTACACTGGAGTTGCCAGATCCCACCCTCTTTGACTCCTCCCTCCGGGATCGTTCACGTTCTCGCCGAGTCTCCACCTCCATACGCCACTCTACGGCTTTTTTGACTTCTTCCAGAGCATAAACACGAACACCATCTCGCCTGCCTGCTATGGCTACTAATACACCGCGATGTTCCATGACCACCACGCTCTTAAAGCTGACCCTACGCACCAGTGCGTAAGGATGAGCAGCTGGAGGAGATATGAGAGGAAGGACATCAAGTCCTTGGGCATGGCAGAGGAGAAGGTAGTGGGGTGCCATAAAAGTTCCGCTAGTAGGAGGAGTGGTAAAGTGTGATGGGGATAGATCTTCTGTGACAACTGATAGGGAGAGACCAAGTTCTTTCAGAGTTGGAGGGGCGAGTGGAGGTGGAGGCGTAAGAGGTCTAGCAGGTGTAGGGGATGGAGATCTGGATCTAGAATCGGACTGAACCGGGTCGGTTGGCTGCGGCCCATCATCTCGAGCAGACGTTCGGGAAGAAGATGGGGTAATTGTATCCCTCCGATGTATTAAATTCGACCAAAAGCCAGAGAGGCGATTGGAGGGACGTGCCTGATAGAAAGTCATTCGATTCAAAGAACAGGGATGGAAGCGATTATTGTAACTCACATCCATGACAGACCTGCGATTGTTTCGGATTGAAGTAGATCTATCAATCAGCCTACTATTTGGTTCTGACAACGGATTTGTGGACATAGCAGTGGGTGTTTGAACTGAGGAAGGGGGTATGACGGGCAATGCTGTGGACGCTTGCATCATCAGAGGACTGTTGAGTATTCGTTGGAAGATAGGCTGTGTCTGTCGCAGGTTGAATGACCGGTGTAATACTAGTACTAGTAGTATCGACAACTTTTATGGCGGTGACCGTCAGATCCTGAGGACTTGGATCCGAGTGCACGATATCATCCTGCCCATTGTCGGGAATGACCACTGGAACATCGCTGCATTGGTCTACAAGACTATGAGCTTCGTCCATCATGAAGGAAAAAGCGACAGAGCGCGATTCCCTTTCTGCCAGCAAGGTGAGACTATAAGTAAAAGAACAGAGAGAGCCCGTTTACCCGTGACTAGTTAGTACCTTGACAAATGGCCGAGACTGATTTATCCCACGCCACGTCAGTGTGAATGACCCAAAGTACCAGGTATTTTTACTTTGGACCTGGTCATCCGACGGACAGCGGACGTCCTAGTTCGTTATTGCTCATCCCTAACCACGTTCGTCGTCGCAGAGAGTAACATTCAAATCTGTTCAGTGATCTGCGCCATGCTTCGTCTGCACAATTCTATTCGTCCAGCATTTCGCTCTCGTAGATGGGCTCATAATATCCCTTCGTTTTCTCACCTAAACACTGTCAACGAAGAGGATCTCGCACACTTCTCCAGTATCCTTGCACCCACGTCTATACTATCAACTCTGCCATCAATCTCCACCCCCGCAGATGATATTGCACCCTACAATGTTGACTGGATGGGAAAATACCATGGTCAAGCCAACTCCGTACTTCGACCCCGCACAACACAGCAAGTCAGCGAAATTGTCAAGTACTGTGCTCAGCGTAAAATTGGAATCGTTCCCCAAGGCGGTAATACTGGCCTAGTTGGTGGTGGTATCTCACTACAGAAAGAAATTGTCCTCAGCTTGGGTGCAATGAACAATGTTCGGTCTTTTGACCCTGTCTCCGGTACTTAGCATGTGCCTTATTACAATGTAACCCTATATTCCATTTCAGGTATTCTCGTCGCCGATGCTGGGTGCATTCTCCAATCCCTGAGTGAACATATTGCCCCTCACAATCACATCATGCCCCTTGATCTCGGTGCAAAGGGAAGGTGTGTAGAGTTCCACTACATATCTAGCAAATTAATTTAACGGACCCTTTTCAAGTTGTCAAATCGGTGGTAATATCTCCACCAATGCAGGTGGCCTCCGACTCCTACGTTACGGTTCCCTGCATGGCACCGTCCTCGGATTGGAAGTAGTTCTACCAGATGGTACAATCCTGGACCAGCTATCAACCCTGCGAAAGGATAACACTGGTAATTTTAAAGTTCCACCCAGGATTTAAGCTCTCCGCCTGACTTTTGATAGGTTACGACCTCAAGCAGCTTTTTATTGGCGGAGAGGGTACACTCGGTATCGTTACCGGGGTCTCCATCCTCACACCACCTGCACCTCAGGCCACCAATAACATATTTTTGGCATTACCACACTTCGACAATGTTTTACCACTGTTCCAAATTGTGAAACGGCAACTTGGAGAAATCATGTCTGCTTTCGAGTACATTGACCGCACCGCTTACGACATGGGTTTGCAGCACGGCCTTGGCCCTTTGCTCAGTGCAGATGAGGCTGGGGGTTCGCAATGTTTTGTACTCGTCGAAACCAGCGGTGGGAACCAGGATCACGATTTAGAGGTGCTGTCATTTTCCGTGTGGTCAGCGTGTGAACTAATCCTTGGATAATCCAGAAACTCAACAATCTTCTGGAAAGCTTGTTGACCGCTGATGAACCGCTGATTAACACCGGTGTTCTTTCCCAGTCACCCACTCAATTCAACTCGATATGGGCTCTGCGTGAAGGCTTGACTGAGTGTGTTCAGAAAGAAGGAAAACCATACAAATACGATGTTTCTGTCCCCCTTGCAGACTTCCAAAAAGTCGTCGATGCTGTTCGGGAACGCATGATTTCGAAAGGGCTTTATGGAGACCACGCGATTTCCAAGGTCATGGGATACGGCCACGTCGGTGACGGTATTATCATCTCTCCAACCCTACCTGAAGGCCAGACCACTTATTCCTTCGTAGGAAATTTGCATCTCAATGTGATCGCCAAGCATGGATACCGCCCGGAGCTTGAGGCAGCTCTGGAGCCTTTCATTTATGAAATTGTCGGTGCGTATTACTTCTCCCAGCAATTCATTGGCGCGGTTGTTGACGAGCATCTGAATTCAGCTGATCGCAAGGGCTCCGTGTCCGCAGAGCATGGCATTGGATCGATGAAGAGGGATGCGCTGCATTACTCTAAGAGCGATGTTAGCATTGACTGGATGAGGAAAATCAAGCAGGTTTTTGATCCTTTGAATATCATGAACCCCGGCAAAGTCATTCCATAGAGCTGAGTTTATATCACGGCGATGTGATGCGTTGATGTGATTTCAAGTTTCATCGCTGAACACATCACCTGCCACGGGCTTCCCGACGAACATGATCAGTAGTACAAGTACGAGCAGTTCTCCTTACGCATTTACAATGGATCTTTCAAGCAAGTTATCCTTTCTGCATTCTCAATTACGATATTCCATTAATTCCGGAAACGTTATGACATCGGACCGTTCCGACACAATTAGTCAGACTGTATCTCACCCCTGGAGATCAAAGAAGCAGATCCTCGGAGGTGGTGTGACGTGGGGAACTCGAACTGACGATTTGATAGGCTATTAATGTTATTGGCGGCCGTAAAACATGTCTCATGTCACCCCCTGCTGCCAAACCTAAATGTATCACGGGAGGCGATAAGGTTCAGTAGGAATCCTGTTTCAACTATTTTTGCGATCGAATTGACCCTTATACTGTGATGCAGCTATAGGGTAATACAACCAACGTCCTGCTCTCCACATCTACTAGCTGGTGATGCCCCTCCGTTGAAAACGTTTTATTGCGTGTGCAGTGAATGTGGGTCTACACATAACATTCTTTTTCATGGCGGTCATACGTGTGTAGCTGTCAATCAGCACTGCCAGGATGGTATCCTCAAACATTGCCCCTTAAGTTAACACTGAACACTAATTTAAAATTATGGGGTATCAGATCTTCAGAACCGCACTACAAGGTAAAATAGTACACAACACATCAGGTCCTCATGTTCTCGCTTCCTCAAAGCGAGGTGACCACCGTCTAAAATAAGCAGGAGGGATTTATATAAGATCATAACGGCGCGCCCCCGACTCGCTTATTCCTAACATGTTCTGTGTCTCTCAAATTAAACGCAATCTAGTCTTTTTATTTCATTTTGCTTTAGCAGATGACTGCTAATCCTATGTGATTCTGCTGATAAATTCTGTCACCAGCTAGTCCTAGACAAGTGGTAAGCGTGACAGGACAGAAATCTGTTGCAGGTTCAAAACCTGCTCAACAATCCTTTTCATTTTACCAGACCTTGAACATTTCATGGATAAATCCTTCATGCATCATGGCCCATCTGAAGTAGTCGTAGCCAGCTGGCAAATTCGAAACCTGCTGACAAATGATTTCCCCCCTTATCACACATTCATCCATCATGGACTTGAGCGAGGTTCATAGGAAGCGTCCATGGCCTTGGTAAGTGATTACGAAAACAGAATCAAAATCTGTGTATCTTGGACGACGCAAGTTCGAAACCTGCCGTCGACAAGGTTTTTTTATATCGGAACATACCTTGACATTCACTCATGGATGGTTTTGTCAGAGATCCATCTTATAACTGGTCTTGGCGAAGTAGAACAGAATCAAAATCTGTTTCTCTGAGACGGACTACGCGGGTTCAAAACCTGCTGAACGACAGTTTTTTTGTCCTATCGGAGCACACCTTGACATTGACTCAGATTAGGATGGTTTTCTCGGAGTTCCATCTGACTGGTCTTCAAAGCCAAGTGGATACCACAACAGAGTCAAAATCTGTTTCTCTTGCAGTTGGTTCGAAACCTGCTGACAACATTTTTACGGTGTGTAGATCCTCGGAGGTCCATCTTAACTAGGCCCAATCATTGCGCCGAAACCCCCTTTTTATGTGATAAGTAGTCTATCCATGAAAATCAATTCACCTTCATGTCTCATGAGGGTTGTGTCAGAAACATCTAGATATGTCCCTGAGATGCGTACGCGCTAACCTATATTCTCGACAGACTGACCAAAACTGTCGGGATTCACCACAAAACGAACAGTATTAATGTGGCCGGAGGCCAGAAGAATGCACGCAAGCTAAGGACAGAGTGAGTCTGACAGTCAGGAAAATAGACACTCCTTCGGTCATTGGCTCTTTCAATGCGACTGAGGATGACTTGAAAGCTGAAGGTGGAAGAATTAAAAGTGGTAGACTGAGCCATATCGTTCTGGTGTGTATAGTTCAATTGCGTGCGATGTCGATGCCGAGGCGGAACAAAAAATCATTTACTTTCGATGACTGCGACAAGACTGGGCACTGGACAGAGATGTTAACAGGAAATGCTAGAACACCCCATGACAGACATCATGCAGGGGCGGCCCACCGAGGCATGTGTAACGGAACAAAGGGGCTCAGCAAGAACTGGATGACAGACATGAGGTCAACTTGATTGGTTCTGCAAGAGTATTGCTGCTTCGCTGAATCTAAGGTTTCTGTTTTGGTGCCCATGTCGTCTTTAGATTAAACCTGGCTCACTTGGAAGAGCTTGTGATCACTCCCAATAAGGTGGGCGAAGGAAGAGTGCCAACGTGGGATCACGCTCGCTTCCCATCTGGTAGGTGCATGCCGCTTCTCAGGTGTACGAAAGTTTCAGTCATCGTGAATATGGAATGTATAATTCAAGAAGCTCTAAGAAGTAAGCTGTCCTCGGACTCGGAGGCCCGGAGGGTCCGTAAATTTACGCCACTAGCGATCAAATCATTTATGTGTCTTGTCCTCGTTATTTTCTGGGTACAACTGCAACGCAATTAGTGTCGCCCTGCTTCAAAGAGCCTTCGGAAATTGAATGACGCACCTTTCCAGGATTGAACAAGTTCAGAGGATCGATGGCGTTTTTGACGGTTTTCATCAGTTCCACGGTATCCTCCCCCAGTTCTTCCACAAGGTACTCTGTTTTGCCTACCCCCACACCGTGTTCGCCCGTGCCTAGAGAGAGAAGTCTTAAAAACAACACGCCTGAGGCACATGGAACACTTACATGTCCCATCCATCTGGATGGCGCGATGGACCAATCTGTGAACCGCTGCTCCGACGCTCCGTAGTTCTTCTTCGTCTTTGAATAGAATGAGTGCGTGGAAGTTACCTGCATAACTTATTGATACACAACGAAACAATAATTTTGATGCCCTTACCGTCACCAACGTGCCCAACAATAGTCGATTTCAAACCAGCCTTGGCAAGATCCTCTTTGGTTTCATAGACTAGCTGCGGAAGTCGAGAAACCGGTACGCTATAAAGTAACCCACGTCATACATATCATTGAAAATAAAGAACGGGAAGGCTAACCAAACATCAGTTGTCCAAACCTTTGAACCAGGGTGTGTCGCTAATGTCGAGAAAAAAGCCTAGGATTAAACAGTTAATATCATGCTAAAGTAATCGCGGTTGACGTACATATTTTCGATTTTCCCACATCTCACCTGCCTCCTCCTCTGTTGCTGCGAATTCAAATCGAGTGCTGCCATGACGTTGTACAATTTCTTGCACGACATTGGAGGTGTCACGGATAGATTCAGGGGATCCTTGGATCTTGAAGAAGAGAGTATCCTGCACCGGATAAGGAGCATCAACCACCCCAGCAGTGTTAATGGCCGCCATCACTGAAGGCGTTTGAGGTAACACCCAAGACATGAAACTAGTCTACTCACTGTGATCATCCAACAGCTCCACACATTCTAAAAGTGAATGTTTCAGCAAATGAAACAAGATCTAACTTGCCACTGACGTATATTGGGACCGTATGGAGTATTAAGGATCTGCTGAACAGCGCTGACCGCTTTTTCGACGTCAGGGAACTGCGCCATAGCAACCTTGGTAGGTACTCTAGGAGCCAATCGCAATGTAGCTGAAATAGTATTAGAATTAGAATGTCATCCCGAATACTGAATGCCAGATTTACCCTCCGTGACTATTCCAAGCGTTCCTTCAGCACCGATGAAAAGTTTCGTGATATCGAAGCCAGCGGAAGACTTGCGCGCCCGCCGGCGAGTCTTGATCACTTTCCCAGATGGAAGGACAACCGTCTAGTACCGACTTGGGTGATCCCAAAACATTCTTCAAAAGACTTGGATTGGACTCACAATATTAAGAAACCATTCTGCTTTAGCAGTTCCATATCTGACTGCATTGGCTGTATTGGGGTTAACATGTGCGGGACTATAACAACAGAAGAAGGCACCAACTTCCTGAACACCCTGTACCAATCATGCCACCGATGGTCTGTAGCCAGTCAAGATTCGAATGTGAAATTTTTGGGATGCAGAATGACTTACAGCTCCAGGACCTGGATCAAGCTGTTCAAATTCAAGGTGAATTCATGGGCCACGGTGAAGTATACGCACAGGGAAGAATAGAGGAATATCCCTGTCTTTTAGTGTATTGTTTATGTCTTCCCATTTTGCTCCAGGTTGACACCGCAGATCACCATCAGCCTCTACAGACAGTCCCGTGAGCATCGGTGCTGGAACGAAGCAGAAACATCGTGTCATACCATTGATTTCCAAAATCATATTCATTGCAGACAGGTCAAGGCATATGCTACCTGAAGGAAACTGATCGTTATGAACATCAGCATCACCCAAGTAATGAAATATGACTGCTCAAAGCTTACACCGGTGAAATGACCCTCTATACTCGTAGCGCCGCCTAACGCAATGATGGGAACCCTGTACTTGCGAGAGATATTGACGACTTTCACCACGTCGTCTGTAGTGTGTGCCATGACTACAACCGAGTGAGGACAACTCGGGTGATACGAATGGTCAGAGGAGCCATGCACTCGGAGGGAATCTGGACTGGTCTGAACGCGATTCTTTCCAGGGAGAGCATCGCGTAGTTCTTCAATTGCTTTTCGAACGTTTTCGGGAGACCCGTAGGTGGGCGTTGAGGATGAAGAGCTCCCGAATATGTCGGTTGTGCCTCCTGTGCCACTGGCACTTGATAGCTCGTCTGGGCCACTTCTCTGGAGGTACGCAGACGAGAGCTCTCCGAACTCACTAGATGTAACATGGGTGGCGGTAGCACCAGCCTCCAGTCTCGCTGGTATCAACCTGTGTTCGCGGTACTGGAAGACATGATAACTTGTCCCAATCGCCAGCAAGGAACCCAGCACAAATTTTCCAATACGAACATGATCCTGCGTGGTACGCCCGGAAGACGGTGAGTAATGGTAACTTGCTTTGCAGCTGCGGATGATTGCGTTGCAGCTTGGGCGCAATGAAAGATGGCAACCCCTTGCAGCGAGCACTCTCGTAGAAAGAGGGAACATGGTGTGCCAGGTGAAAGGTAGACTACCGTGTAGCTAGACAAACGTAACGCGTTTTATATAAAACAACCCCATCAGATCGAGGATATGCATCCCGGGGTTAGTCTATGTTATGACGTAACACTAGAAGCTTCTTACAGCCACCGAACAATACAATAGTGGTACTCAAAATAAATTTTGAAACTCTTGAAAACTCGCTAAACTGCGTTCAACTCCCTTCAACTCCCCGCTTAAAGTTTGAAAGAACTCGCGCAAGTCCGAGAGAAATGTGCTCGGCACACGTCGGCATGTAGTCGGACTTTAAAACGACACTTGTGATTTTTCAAAGCGTGCTATGTACATAGGGGAAAGTGGTAGAGTAGCGGTCCAACATAATTGTATTTCAAATGAAAGCATGAATAAAATTGTAAAAAAAACAAGGCCCGCGGGAATGAAATCAGCTGTAGGTAGGGAGCGCGGGAGGGACCAAATAAGTGCCGAGTGGAGGAGGGGGGGATGCTGAGCAGCGGGGGGGGGGATGAAAAGCGTCGGGAGGAAGATCTGCGTGCCTCTGCGGAGACGCAAGATCAAGTGAAGGGCGGACTCCTTCTGGATGTTGTAGTCACTGAGAGTACGGCCATCTTCGAGCTGCTTTCCAGTGAAGGTGAGACGCTGCTGGTCAGTTGGGATGCCCTCCTTGTCCTGGATCTTCGCCTTCATGTTGTTGATGGTGTCCGATGACTCCATCTCCAACGTGAGGGTGTCTCCATGGAAACAGATAAGGAGGCGGAAGGTGGACAGGCCGTTTGCCGGTAAGGGCGAGGCGCCGCTGATCAGGTGGATGGCAGATGGTCCATCGCCCTCGCGCGTGGATGAGCGTTGGCTCTAAGTCGTGCAGACCGGCGAGCACGTTGGTGAACAACAGGCATGTTTTTCGAACTCCGATGTGCGATGCCGGCCTGACTTTCAATTGCAGCACATGCTCATGCTGTGTTTTGTTGAAGTAGCCGAGCTTTAGGCGAGTTTTCAAGGAGTTTCAAGATTTATTCTGAGTACCACTAATGGTTCAATCAGGATGACCAGTAGTTACGCGTTGAATAATCTCACGATGAAAGCTTCAGAAGAAAAGTGCTTTGAAAACATCCGCAACAATCATTTTCTGAGCAGTACGTATACAGGATCGCCAAGAACGACATTGGTCAAATGACGATATGAGCCTGTGATTGATAGCAAAAGTCCACCGAATGACGCGTAGGCCGTGCTACGGAGTGAATAATATGAGCAAGAGGCAGTCAACAGAAAACATGCAAGTAACTTATACAATGTCGGAAGATCCGGTATCAAACTTATACACCTGCAGGACCATCGAGTAAAGTCAAACTTGAGGATGATAGAAAGACGGAGTCACACCTTCCCATACATAACATAGTCATAATCTTCTTCCAAACCTCTCCTTCCTTTACCATCTGGTCTCCATGCGTCTCTATCTTTGTCTTCGCCATCTTCGCCATCTGCTGTGGGTGCACCACCATCTCGTGATAGCGACGAAGCAAGGGCCATCGCAAAACTGCCACCATTCACTAAAGGGAAGAGCTCGATGTTATAGTCAAGCGTCAAGTCCATGTCATAGTTTTTTGAATGAGCGTATAACCGAGATACTGGTTGTACACAGCACATGTCAGTCACAAGTAAAAAGTGATGCGCATGAACAAGCCCGAACCTCGATCAAATTTTTTGCCATCCTTGTCGATGGCATCAGTCGTAAACATGTCGTCAAAAACAATGCTGGATGAGGTTGAGGCCATGGGTGATAGAAGAGATCGATTTGCGCGTGGAGTCTTGGACCAGTATCGAATCCAGGGAGTCGTGACGCGTTCGCGCGCAAGTCACGTGAAGGAGCGTTTCTTGCGCACTGTTGAATAGCATATCCGCAACTCCTGTTTGGCTGTCCTTGCTGGCATGTTCGTCGTGCGCAGTAGCAATAGCCTACATTTTTTCCGTTCAGCAACTCGCATAGCGTTGCAAGTCAGACGTTCATCGACATTTACTGTCCGGAATCCATCCGAGCATGCACCGCGAGAGGTGCCAACGCCTTTGGTTTTGTGTTCAGCATCACATTGGGATTTAGGAACACGAAATAAGTGAGCATTCTGTTCTGCTACCGTTGTTCAACTTGAACATTGCACGAAAATTGTCGACGATAGCATCCCCCAGTCGTTTGCTTCGATGCTCGCGGAGAAAGGTCACACTTGCATTGAAGTCGATTTCGGACCACCTGGTGAGAGCGAAAAGTGCTCCAGCTCACAGAATCTCGTGGATCACTTGAGTGAAGGTATGTTTTTTTTTCGTTCGAGGAGTGCATATTACATCTTGTCGGCTTCAGAGCTGAAAGTCAACTTGCACCTTTCCGGCAGTGCCTTTCCACCGGTAATATTCGCGCGTGGCTTTGCGTCTCTCATCGCACAGACATATGTCTCCTCCCATCCAGCACAGGGACTGTTTCTGATTTCCCCTCCACTATCCAACGCGTCACTGTTTCCTAGCGTTCTTCCCACCCCGCTAGGGGAGTTTGACTACGAACTCGAGTTCCCCGTCGCAGTCATGGCCCGTCCAACAGAAATGGATCAGCTAAGGAAGTATAGTCGGTTGGGTCAGAATGAGTTGGTCGACTTGATTGAACGTGACAACTTAGAAGGTCACGATGCTTTCATGAGAATAGAGCAGTGGTTAGACGAACTGGGGATCTAACATCCTTTATTAGAAGGAACTATTGTCTTCCATCTTCTAAAGGTCTGGCTAGGGGAGGTTAGGATGCATCATATGATTTTGTTCTTCTTCTCACAGTGGTTGTTGCATTTACTCTTGACGTGCTTTTAAACACAACCTGTGGAGGTGTCGAATCTCTGTATCAGTGAGAGTACCGACATGAAAATGTCAGACCATGGAAAACGAACCTGTAAAGTGAACGGTCTTACCACCACTCAAAAAGACGGTTCGCAGAATCAATATCGACTGGACAAGAATGGACAAGTTATGCTGACCAGGGGTGAACGAATGTCGGACGAGATCGCTGGCCCTATACTTTGACCCTTGATAACTTGACCTTGCATGGTGTTCTTGTTCATCAGACCAGCAGACGAATGTGGCAGCCACTGGTGGTACGATACCAAATCATTGCTAGGTCTGTCGACCAAACGTTGATCCGTCCGTACGGCACTGTGTCCTGAACCGCGTGTTTTCGTATTCTACTCACTGCGTAGACTTCACTCAGCGAGCCTTGGAATCGACCGAGCTTAGTACAGCTTTCAGTCTATGTCAGTGATTATTACTTGAGTGAATGGGTTGTTGGTATAAGTACAATGGACGGCGAGATGTCACGCACGAACGAGTGAAATGATTACACGGTTGTAGAGTAGCATTTATAAATGTTCCCTCTGCCATCAGCCCTGCTCATTGGAAGCAGCCTGTTCTTTTTCCACATCATGTTGAGCGGTGGCCAAGCTTCCCATACCAGGAAGAACAAATTTCCACGTTCCTCGGAGGGCTAGCACTTTCCTGACCTGATATTCAATCAACTCATGAAGTTTTGGCACGTCCCTGAGCATCGCTCGACTGCCCATGAGCGACGTTGTCTTAAGGTTAAGAGTAAAGTCTTGTGGCAACGATATGGTCAAAACGGGGGCTGCTGATGCAGGAGATGGCGGAACCAAGGTGACCTATAGAACATGACTTCCTGTGTTCCAAAAAGCAAAAATTGGCAATCACTCACTTTTGACTCGAAGAGAGACAAAGATATCGTGAGTGAGACAGGTAGCCGAGCAAACGAGGACATGGGGTAGTTGAACAAATAGGACGTAGATAGTGAGACGGAAATGGTGTCTGTATATGACATGTCGAATTCGATTGTCTGTCTACCTGGTAAAATGGTTCTGTGCAAGGATGGCGTGAAAACTAACCATCGGAGCGGTATCCCCATCGCTGTCATTCACGACCCGTGCGTTGGACAACTTGGGCGCAGACATTCCTAGGTCCACGGAATGTATCGTGATATGGTCCTGTTGTAGTCGTGAGTTATGAACAAAGACTATGCAGGCGGAATACTTGCTAGAAACCCGCGTGGACGCAACTCATTCGCGTGGTCCTCGATTTTCCTGCGGGCAACCTCGATTCCCTCATATCCTGTGAGGTTGTTTTGAAGCTTAGCTCTGTACACCTCCACGACCTAATATCGTATGAGACTTGATTGGAACCCGTCCGCAAGCTCTGACAACAAACCTGCCTTGCAAGTATATTGAACCAATGCGCCGACTCCTTTTCTGGAGCACCGTTTATGTCGTCTTCCTCCACGTCTTGGTGCCACGAAGGGTTTGATTTTGACAGAGGATGGAATGTGATGGTTTCTGTCTCACTTTCGGGAGGAATGAAAAACAAGTATTTGAGAACAAGCGCCAGGAGAACCAAGATTGAGAGTTGACCTAGCACGAGGCCCTGTGTAAAAGTCGGCGTGAGGGAGAAGATATAGTTGTTTCCCATATCGGATGGGCGTTGAAGGCAAGCTCGTTGGCTTCAAGGAAGGCGCTGGTAATTGGCATATGTATGCTTGTTTCGATTTGGCAGGAGGTCGTCTTGTTAGCCGGTTTCAACATGGACAAGCGGTATCATAAAGGAAAGATCTCCGTCAAAACTTAACTCTATCAATCATATGCATATGGCTACTGCCTTTGTCTCCTGGCCATCAGCGCCGTTGACCGAATCGCTCGTCAAGAGGGCTTTGTCAAATCTGTCTGTCTCAGTCGTCGCATCACTTCTTGGCACCCATGAATACTCAAAGCTGCTTCAGTGGTCCACCTACGACGCTATCAACCATGACCTGACACACTGTAATCCTGACAATGTCCTGTCGTCCTCTTATACCATCAGAAAGGCTCTCATTCGTAAACACTACTTAGCACGATGCATTCATTCGTACTTGACAAAACATCTCGACTCCGTCCTCAAGGACGCGGTGCCCAGGACATGGGATCTCGAGATCTCTTACGCAGATGAGCTGGATGAAATGTGGAGCGACCAACTTTGGGACCTTGGCAATGAAATCGATGGCTCCTCTCAATGGTGGATTTTGAAGCCTGGCATGGCAGATCGGGGAATGGGCATCAGGTTGTTCAACAGCAAGGACTCGCTGTATCAGATCTTCGAAGAGTTTGAAGACGAAGACGAAGATCAGATCGATGACACCTCTGTAATAATGTCACAACTTCGTCATTTTGTCATTCAGGTAACAAGGACTCTTTTTTGCGATATAATGCTGAACGTTATTCGATCGCAGGAATACATACCTAGTCCGTTGCTCTTGGACCCCAACGAAAGGTCTCCTTCCGTCTCTGTGTTAAACCCACCTGAAAACTTGCAAGGATATAAAGTCAATCCACTCTATCTTCTCCTCGTCAGCTTTTGATGATGCTAACGTCCAGTTCCATCTACGGGCGTACTTTGTTGCATCAGGAGCGTTGCAACTATTCATGTATGACCGTGTTCTTGCTCTGTTCGCTGCAGTTGCGTATGCCAGCCCGCGACGAAAAGAGGGGCTGTTAACGATGCGGCCGCTCCCGGAAACATTGACTTGACACCTCATCTTACGAACACCTCGCTGCAAATTGATCGAGGCGAGGAAGGCGTCCATCTACTTGATGAACTCTCAGGATGTCATATTCTATCCGGAGATAATACGGATCGTGGAGCGTTATTTACCCCCACGGATATCGAGAACATAAAAGTTCAAATGGGCTCCGTTCTCGCAGAAACGTTCAAGGCCGCGTTAGAAATGCCTATACACTTCCAGGTAACGTGTTTTGTTACTGATCCTCTGCCTTGGTGTTAAGTCTTGATGCCAGCCGCTTCCAAATGCATTCGAATTGTATGGAGTTGACTTCTTGGTGTCTCATGACCCAACTGGACTCGATTCATTAGGCAACTCACGAATCTTTCAAGTTAAACTTCTGGAAATCAATTCAGAACCCGCTATCGAATTAACAGGACGAAGGCTACATAGAATTCTCGAAGACTTGTTTGTTGCGATCGAGCAGGTTGCAGTACTACCCTTCTTTAGACAGGAAGTTGGATGCGTACCAGGCATGGAAGTGCCTGTGGTACCAAAGCACTTGCGGATGTGTCTTGATACAAAGGTTCGAGGATCTGGAGGTTGGTGAAGGATTAGAAATTTGTTACGCATGTATTCCCATCCTAAAATATACTTGCCTATCCAATGTGTTATATATATCATGACGCTGAGCTCTCCTCCTTTATGCCGGATGTTGAAGGTTTTTTTTTGACTGTGATCATGTCTTTCATCAGTCTCAAATCTCTTTTCCGCTTGTTATTTGTAAAAGTAACATCCTTCACGTTTTTGGGAAGATCCTTGCGCCTTTCGAAGAGCTGTTTGGCGAATTCTTGGTCGTAGGCAACACGTCGAATACCAAACATTTCAATTTGAAGAACTCCGTCCCAGTACATCCTCTCCACCATTCGCATCTGCGAAGGGGGAATAAGGTCTCGGAATAAGACAGTGTCCCTAGCCATCGCTTCGATCCTCTTTGAGTGTGTTTAGTCACGATTGATTTTTGAATCGATAGTGACCTACTGGAGAGCTCAGCTTCTTGGTGTGCTCCGCTGAAAGGAGGAACGATTCGCCTGTTCGTTCATAGGTACCAAGATACTTCCAGCCGTGACCGTCGTGATAACATAAATCTTTCTTTTGACCAAGCTCAATATCCGGACGGACCCGAGACCACGCGCCGCCGTTCTTTTGGGGATTGTATTGATGTGTTGGTCTTACGATAAGACCTACGGCGATTCCTGCGCGGGCGAACATCACAACATCCCTCTCAAGACGGAGGGTGCCGTCACAGCGACTGTGACTTGTAGGTTAGCATGCCGCAGATCTTGTGAGTGAATGGACCAACCAATGAGTTCGAGCTGTCTGTCGAGAAACGTCAGTAATATTAACCTAAAAGCAAAGACTACCACGAACCCTAGGAATGCCCATAGAGAAGATGGGAGAGTATATAGGGATTTCATTGGAATTCGGTTGGTCACCGACATTCGGATACTCTGTGTTCCGAAAGAATGAAGGTGGGTCGGATTTGCTGCATGTCAGTTCGCTACGAGGGTTCGTCACAAAAGATAAGGTCTGCTTACAGTACTTTTCCTTCTGATGCCCGCTGCTCTCGTTCTTCTATACAGAGTTCAAGTTGGCCACGCAGTTCGTCGATGACCTGTGAAGACGTTTCAGGCATTATCCAATATCATACATTTGCGAATACCTCTTGGCACTCTCGTTTGCTCGCTTTAAGCTTCCGGTATTTTTCACGAACGCTAGTCAGTTCTGCAAGTTGTTCATCTGCCTTTTCCTAGTTGGGTCAAAGTTAGGAAAGTACTGTGATGTAGTATCTGGTCCCAATATACCTTGTCCAATGTTGCCGTGTTTTTCTCCTTAATCGCGTCAGCTAGTTCTTTTTGAATTGCGTCCATCGACTGTTGATCACGATAAGATAAGAAGACTGCACATCCAGCCACGAGTTAAATACCACAGAGTATTGCGCTACAATATTAGAGTGATCGCCCTCCATCTTGAGTGGAACGTTCGTTGTTTGATCCTGGAGACGTAAAAGTTCCTCTCGAAGGCCAGCGTTCTCAACCGTTAGTGTAAGTATTTCTGCCCGTAGGGCTTCCTCGCGCTGAAATTGGGGACCAATTGAATTGACATCGCTTGTAGGAGTCCCGGTTCTCTGAAAGGTCTTGCGTATCAGCTATCTCCAGAGAATGACTCGTGCTACTTTACCTGCTCAGCTTCACGGAGTTGGCTGCGGACAACCTTTAGTTCCTGCCCCAGAAGCTTGACCATTTCAGCTGCGAGCTCTGGGTCCATGACATTATCCATACTGACGACTTGTTGACGACAGGAGTGAAAGCGATGAAGCGCGCACAACAGATTGACGTATCACGTGACACTCTTTGTTCTCTCCCATACCTGAGTTATACGCAGCGTAGATGGCCAAATACAATCATCCACCTAGTCTGCACCTAGTGCAAAGCATGGCAATGGCATCAGAATCAACTTCTTCGACATCAACACCACGCAAAAGATCGAAATGGGACGAGGAAGATCCAGATGACATGGCAATTCGCCAACAACAGCAGCCATCGAAACGCTCCGTAAGGACTAGGTCTCGCGGCGTGCGCCCACCTAGTCCCGTGCGTTCAGAGTCGCATTTCGCTACCACTAGTCGTCCTTCCCGTCCATTGCATAGTATCTATGTCCCTCCTCGAACTCACCATCCATCAATCCAACCATCTCGTTCAGTTTACTGTTATGAAAGACTTAATCAGATCGAAGAAGGGTCTTACGGCGTTGTCTTCAGGGCAAGGGATAAGGAAACAGGCGATATCGTCGCACTGAAGAAATTGAAACTTGACGAGGAGAAACACGGGTTTCCTATTACTGCCCTACGTGAAATCAACGCTCTCATGTCATGCCACCATGATAATGTGGTACGAATCAGAGAAGTTGTGGTCGGAGATACTTTAACTCAGTGAGTAAAGCGTCTCAGTAATGTCACAACATCACCACGCCCACATACCAGAGTGTTCGTAGTGATGGACTTTATCGAGCATGATCTAAAAACTCTTCTGACACTCATGCCCTCGCCCTTTCTGCAATCCGAAATCAAGACACTCATGCTTCAACTGCTGTCCGCGGTCGCACACTGCCATTCCAACTGGATACTCCATCGCGACCTAAAGACCAGCAACCTGCTCATGAATAACCGCGGGACGATCAAAGTTGCTGATTTTGGCCTTGCGAGACGGTATGGAGACCCTGTGGGTGTCGGTGGTCTGACCCAGCTTGTTGTGACACTGTGGTATCGGTATGTCAATTGTTCTCAACATCATGATAGCAGATGACGCATCCCTCAAGGGCTCCTGAGATCCTGATGGGAGCTACGACATATTCGACTGCTATCGACATGTGGTCTGTGGGGTGCATTTTCGCTGAACTCCTCTTGAAGGAACCACTGTTTCAAGCGAAAAACGAAATAGAACTTCTTTCCATGATCTTCAAGCTTCTTGGACCTCCCACTAGTTCATCTTGGCCTAACTACTTCCACTCTTCCGTTAGCAAAAACCATCACTCTTCCCTCACCTCAACCACATCAATTTCGCCAGCGGTTTCATCATATGACAACCGCTGGAATCGACCTGCTTGTGTCACTACTCACCTACGATCCCGAACAACGTATCAGTGCTGAAGAGGCTGTACACCATCCATATTTCAGGTCAAACGCCTCTTATCCTCTGTATATGTGCAAGCTAACACAAGTGAATGAAGTGAATCCCCACTCCCAAAACATCCAGATCTATTTAGCTCATTTCCATCCGCTGCTGCAGGCGAGAGGTACGTATGTGGGACTGCGGATGCTGGCGCTATGCTCAACACAAACATTATAGACGCCGAAAACCTTTCGACAGTCCATCAGCACCCGTGCGGGCAGCAGACTATAAGCTTCTTACTGAAGTCGATCTTCCGTAGAAGAAATTGCAATATATTGCGTACAATATTAAAATGTATCTCTCGTAAAGTTAAATACTATGGGTGTTATGACTCTCCGATATTCGACAATATTTGTCGCATCTTCTGGAAACGAGTCTTCGTACGTTCCATCTCCCCACACTGGTCATAAAACTCTTTAACCTCTTCTAGTGTAAACCTGTACTCCGTAGCTATTTCTTGTAACGTCCGGTCGATGAGATGGACGCCAGGGTCCAACAAACTCCCTTGAATAGAATCTGTATCACTGGAAAAATCCATGAGCCCATGATATTTAATAACGGCCATGACTACGCACTTGGACTTCATTCTCTTACGAGGATGTTGTGCTTCACTTTCTTCACTGGCGGGTCGTTTCCCCCACTTTGGAGGAGGTTCATTGCCGACGCGAACTGCCCACTCTTCGCTGTCTTCACCATCCTCTAGTTCTTCCTCTGCGGGGGTGCTTCGAACGAAAGCTCTTGATGTAGATGGTCCTGAATCAACCGGCGACGCGTCGAACACAATCACGGGTACTTCGGCACCATTGCCGTTAATGCCACCAATTATCATTTCCTCTTTATGCAAATTCTGTTCCGCAGGTTTGGCGCGTTTCCTCCTGGGGCGTTTGTTTTTCTCTTCATCTTGTCGCACGTAACCATACTGCCCTTGTTCCCCAGGAATTGGCTTCTTCTGGTCAACGATTTGAGCGATCATGGTGTCTAACCGCACGGCATTCTTCTTGTAACGCTCGCGCCAAGACTGCCATGTATGACGTGAAACCCATGCATATTCTGGGTCCGCAATCTGAGCCTCGTAAGCATGGACATACTGAGGTAGCAATAGAAAGGGTTCACCATTTCGCACAGTTGTTGATAGAGCCTATTTCCGGTTCTTCCGCCTGTCTGCTTGTATGGTATCTTCGCCGCGATCCATTCACACAAACGCTGTTCGTCGTCTTCAGTAAATGGCGTTCTCCTAGGGGAACGCGTTGGTTTATGACCTGCATGCAAGAGGGAGTGAGATACATACTCTTCCCCAGGACGTCGGCCGCCAGGGTTCTTGTAGATGAGAGGGGTGTATACCAGAGAACCCTTCTCAACACATTTCTTTACCCACAAGTACGACTCAACATGTTTATCTGGAATGCCTTGGTATGTCTTAACGAGATGTTGAAAGACTTCTGTGTTCGGGTCCGCAAGGATGATCTTAGCAGACTGCGGAGATGAAGTAGGATCGCCACCAGAATGCTGAAAGAAAGTCGGTGAGCTTGAAATAGACCAATGAATATATCATTTGCGGGATACCGCTCACCATGATTCTCTGACTTAAAGTTGTGCGTGCATTGATATTAGCAATGCTAGGATGGATGTGCATCTTAACGGGTAAGCCGTTTTCCACAAAGATCTGCTTCAACTGCATGCCCGCAATCTTGCAGGCTTCCACATATGTATACGGCACGAAATGGCGTTGTGGTCTATCCTGCGCCATCCAGCACAGGCGGAGACGCTCTTCCTCCGCAGTACCAGGCTGGACCAGTACGTAACCTTGTCTTGGAACCTTTGCTTCGACGCGACCACCTAATGACTGAAAGCAAATAAGATCAGACTACTTATGCTAGATGCTGGGATGCCACAACTCACAGCGACGACTTCGCACAGCTCAGCCTGAATTTCCTGAGCGATATCTTTCTGAATGAAGAATTTGATGGCGAGACCATTAGCGTCCTGGAATATGGGCTGAAATGCAGAGTCAGAGGAGTATGAACATGGTATTATTTGCCTACCATAACGATGTGCATTGACTGGCTGACACTAGAGAGTAGTGGCGTTAAGAAAACCCTCAATTGAGGTTAGGGTTAGTGGGGCCAACTGAGTTTAAAAGGCAGTCCGTGACCTTGTGTCACTGTGGCAGACACATCCGACTCCGACCCACAGTGGGAGGACAATGGGTGGAGGCAAGGTGGAGGACTTGCTCCTGGCCGCCATCCACCACGCTCAACCGAGTCTCTGAAGGCCGCATGAAATTATTATATAAGTCATCCCACAATCCAAGGAATAATGCGTGATTGCAGGCGAATATTGTAAACTAGAAAGCGCAAACTATTGGCAATTTTAAGGGCTCCACGTCAAGGGTTGTTGTCACGTAGAAGCTTTCATCTCCCTCAGCTGCTTCGCAACATCGTCAGAATTAACGCTCTGCACCGCATCCTTCCCGACTTTCATCCTCCAGAAGCGAGTCCTTTTGCTGATTTGCACTTCGACTTCGAGCTCAGAGTATGGGGGGGTCTGTGCTAAGGAGGGACGGATGTCAACCTGCTACGCCGGTTGGGTATAGTGACCCATTTATCAGAGATATTGGCTCGGGGTTGATGTCGACGCCAAGAAACCTGTCTAGTTTTTCTTTTCTTTGCTCCATATTCGAGATATTGTCAAGGGCCAACTCGGCCGTGACCGGGTTCCCGTGAAATTGCGATCTTTTAGATTTTGAGGTAAGCAACAATGTAGGAGGTGGAGGATGTGAGGGATTCCGAGGACCATAGGTAGCCTTTGGAGTTGACATCAGCGAATGATCAACATCATCAGGCCCGTATAGAGAGGCCGCGATACAGGGTTGAGAATGTTTAAGGAAATCTGCCTACACAGAGATTGAGCTTATTTTTCTGGAAAATAAAATAAAGCGAGCTACAAACCTCTGTCCGTGGATGGTGCAAAGCATACTGGAGCTTCCCATCTACGACATTGACGGCATGCTCGCAGTGGGTTTGTAGTTGCAAAAGGCCTTCTGTACCACACAGTGACCTACTCCTCCTTAGCTTGCACGAACTCGGAAGTACTGGTGCTGATTGAGAGTCTGCTGTGGCGTCCAAAATCCGCCGTCTCTGGTGGTCCTTCCTTGGATTTACTAAAAGGCTTCCTGCCAGACTCCTGTACTCGGCTATATCTGTCGGAAGAGTGGATAGAACCAACTCCGGCGGAATCTCCTCGCCCAAGTGACGAGTCAGCTTAGCCAACCTGGCTATTTGCAGCTGCCTTATTTTCTGATAATGTGCAGCTGGATCATCGCTTTCCTCGTCCGTTTCATCTCCAACAGAGATTGCGGATGTGGGCCTCTTTAGTGCTATGTCTGTAACGCACATCGAAGGCGGTCGAGACAGTGCACCAGTGAAGAGGGTGGCATGCTGCGAGGAGGATGTCTGAGCGGAAGCTGACATTGATGATAAACGTCGCGAGGGATGTCGAACCAATCGTTTCCTGCGACTGGTAACAATGCCATCGCATTGAGCAGGGATCACTGGAATAAATTCCCTGGACTTGTTGGTATTCGTACCCAACCGAGGGATAGAAAATACGCGGCTCAGCTTGGCAGCGGCAGGCCAAGGGCCATCACGAATTATCTGTGATTCGGCCTGTTGCGGAATGGTGTTGAGTTGAGAGGGGGGGAGTGGTTTGGCAGCTGCAGCAGGTCTGCGGCGCGTGCCATCCTGTGATATACTGCACTGAAGCCCGACAGGGCGTCGAGTAGTGCTAGATGAAACATGTTCTCCTGGCTGGACAGGCATGATACTATACACGAGCAAGTCAAAGTCCGCCGATAATACAATTTGAATTGTAGAATAAGAACAGCGGGAAGGTCACTTCAACATCAATGAGGCAGCGAGCGAATAATGAGAGAGAGACCGTACTTACCTGTGAACACTGCGCGAGGACAAGCCTAAGAGGGGAGACTATCCAAATTTCAAGCTGGCGCTGTTAAATGACCTTGGGTCGCAAGAACTTATCGACAGCTACGTGAGTAGATGCACGTGAAGTTGGTTGACCCTTGGGTCGTTTCCATGAGTGACCCTGATTAATATTGACCTTGGCATGTACACAGCTGGTATCGTCATGTCTACTCTGGATCAAAAAAAAATACACCGAGCTATGGAAGTATTTTAAGCCTCCATACATTGTGTCATATCAGGCACAATGAATAGCCACGATTCAATATTCAACACCCGGTACCGCGGTAAAACGAATAGCTGAAATTAATTCCTGGAGTCCCGGGCCGAACAGATTACGGTCATACGCGCTCTTTGAAAAAGACACCCGGTACGTGGCCGCACATGTTGTGGCGTTCATGACTGTCTCTTGGCGATACCATTGGCAGTGGGCATGCATTATATTAGTAAGGCCAGGGACTGGCACCCCCTGTGGCGACGCCAGTCAGCAAGCCTTGGTCTAGTACGGCTATGTCATCGGTCGCCCAGCGGCGAGAAGTTAACATCATAATGGTAACCGCCTATAAAATTTTAAAACGTGGTCGTTCATGGAGGCCAGCCTGTGCTGCAGCTCAAAACAATGTAATATGCGGCACAATAGCGATATAACGTAATAGTAGGCAAGTATGTAGATTGTCCAAAGTTCAATGAGAAAGAAACTATCCAAAAGAAGAATCCTCCCGAGTCACCGTGGATATCAGGTCATTACAACCATTCCGTTGAGTCTTGCCAAACATCGTTGACAGTCGGATGTCTGGGGGCAATTTAACTAGCGAAACACGTTTCGCTGCTCGGGTCTTGTTCCACTCCTCAGCTTGCTCTTCAGGCGACTCTTGCGCTGTGTAAAACTTCTCGTGAACAGAATGGGGAGTGCCGTCTTGCGCGGATAACTCTAGAGAACTCGGAATAGAATGAGCCGTCCGAGACTCCGAGAGACTGGTCTCGGCCTCTAGGAACGGGTACCCTGAGCCCTCCCCTTCAGTCAGAGGGGAATCTGTGATCCTCGGTGTCTCTAAGACATTCGACACAGAGAACGCGTAGTTTGTCGGCCAGTCCGGACCGAAATCTAGAGCAGACCGGAAAGAATCGTCGATGGAGGACTCCACAGAAATGGGTATGACTTTGGAAGATGATTGCGGCAACGACGCGTCCAGTGATTCATCATCGGGCGATGACATCGGCTCAGGTATACACTGTCCTCGACTCTGTAAAGTGTCCATGGCAGCGTTCAAAGCAACTGTAGCTGCCTGTTTGAACACTTGCTCTTCTGCTGCCACATCGTTTAGCAGGACGTTACGGTGACAAATGAGCCTAGCAATCTCCAGACGCAACTGGGAGATCTGCTTTGCTACATTTTGTACTGCATCTTGAAGCCGATCTCGCGTTGACCGTTGGAAGGGTGTCAAAATTGCTATGTTGCGAGCGAAATGCATCTTCGTTTCGAGAAGTGGTTGTGCTACACAAATCCGATCTTCGAGATCGCTGATGGTAGATTGGAGGAGAATGGTGCGATTGCTTTGGGGAAAGGCATTACCGTCAGCCGTCAGGGAAGAGCGGTGCCCAAGGAAAGGAACAACAGCATCAGATACGTCATTCGAGGACAATGACTGATCACCCAGACTGAGCCGGGCAGCAGCCAATTGCGCTTTCACTTTGTCGAAAGTAGCTTTGAATTGGGATGCCCCCTCGATCTCACGCACGGCGGGAGGTTCATGAGTGATATCGTGCTGAGCTTCGAAGTCCTCTGGGTTTGATCGCTCGACAGCATCTTCTGTACTTTCGTCGGTTGACTTAGTAGCACGAATAAGTGAGCTTTGAGAACCCCATAATCGAATTTTGGGCTGGGGTTGCTGCACTACTCGTAAGTCTTGGAGATGTGATTGCGCAGCAGCAACCCCAGTTAGCGTCACCTCCCTGCCTGTCATGCCAGGGGGACGCATTCGTATCCCAGCAGACTTGAAAGCACTGGCATAGTTGATGCGCGAAACCCATTGATTGATCTCCAGTTCATTTGAAGCCTGGAACAAGATCTGGCGTCCATCAGCGAGGGCCAGGCGAAAGGTGTTTGAATGCTGCAGAAACGTTAGCATCGCATAGAAGAGTAATGAAAAAGAAAAGACCTTTTGATATGACCGATCGAACACAGCGAGTGCGTCCTTCACCGACAAAACTTCATCGGGTTTGCAATGTATTGTCGATTCCCTGGAATAATCCGAGGATGACAGAAAAGCAGCAGCCCATGATGGATCGCGAAAAAGAAGGACTTGCGAAGTCGTCAAAGCAACACCAAACGACTTCCACTTGCGGTTCGAGGGTTTTTTACCGCCTTCCAAGATCTCGTCTTTGCGGTTCAAAACAGAGACTTTCGACAGCTTAAGTCGCCAAGTCTCTTTCTGAGGTGGTAAAAAACCGGGAAGTGAGTTTGCCCCCATAAGTGATGATGGATTGGAGACGCTGAGGCCAAACAACCCAGAAGGCAGGCGATTGTGTTCAAAGCAAGTAATCTCTATCGTATCTCCCCTGGTCAAAGGCAGACCAAAGTTCGTCATTATTCCAGGAACCACTTGTTCCCTTCCAACAGTATGGGTTGTCTAAGGGTATGTGCTGTTCGACATTCACGCGGAGCGAATCAAGTAAGTGCTTCAAAACAAAGCGTCATTGACAGTGCATTGAGGAAGCGAGACTACTTACATTGGTAATCAGATAATATGGATCGATCTTTGGTCTGCTCAGTAGAGTACCTCCTACTGGTGTCATTGGAACACCAGCGGAAGTAGGAGGTCGCGAAAGACTGCCATCAATTGATGGCCGAGGGGGGTCCATAGGGTCCTCGATAAATATGAAAGGAGCGAAGACAATATTATCATAGAAGCACTAGGGGAATACATCAGTTCTGAGGGGTTGGAATAGTCAGTTTACAACACACATCTAGCACTTCGGGTATAACTCCTGAGATAGCCGTATTTTTCTGATAGTCAACTTTTGTCATCTTGCGCTTATTGGATTTGTTGAATGCATCTGTGTGAAGCATGATGAGACTGAAGGCGAGAATGTATGGGATATCTAAAAGTCTGATGAGTACAGGTCCATTGCCTACACATCAGTGACATTGTGCTTACCATCGGACATAAATATATCTGGGTTGCACTCAACGTACCGCTTTGCAAAGGCTTCAATCACCCTATCGATTTGTTGTGTTTCCCGGGGAAGACCAATGTGCATTAAAAGCCGACGCAGAGCAACATCCAGAGGATCCCCAGTAAAAGAGAACTTTCCGACGTAAAGTTTGAGAGTAGCTACATACTTGACTTCCGCACTGAGAATCAACTTAGAGTGGTGAAAAGTGAAAAGTGAAGTGATGTACCTTGATCCCAACAACCCTGCGATATCAGCTTTACCAACAAGGGAGGAAAGTCTCTGCAAGAAAGCCTCGGGTAACTCGTGCTGTTGAGGTCTCAGCTCCTCAGATGGTACCGATAAAAGTAATGGGGGACGTGATCGAGAAATTGGTGAGGCGGTTATAGAACTGCCAGGAACTGTCCCAGATTTTGCCGAGGCAGTAGATGATGCAAAAAAATTAATCGAAAGCCGATGCAGGAGAGGGGGATTCGTAGCGGAACGTGGTCGATTATTTGCATGATTGACGGAGGTAGACGAGGTGAGACTTGAGAGTGCGTTTCCAAAGTGTGGGGTTTGTGTGGAAGGACTGGACGTTGTTTGTGGTGACAGAGTAAAAAATGAACGAGTGCGTGAACGGACCGAATCGGCAGTCATGGGGCGGCGCAGTATGGGTCGGGGTGGATGATGGGAAGGAGATGCTGGATTGGTAGTCGTTGGATGATGCTGGGACGAATCAAATGCTGGTAGAATCTTGGGTAATGCAGGTGCTTCAGAGTTGGAGGAGGACGGACGTCTGGAGAACTTCTCTGAGTGACTTCGTGTCAATCTCGAAGCGAATCGTTGCGGTGGCTGCTGAGAAGATGCAAGAGTGTCCGAATGGAAGTCTATATGAAATGGTGATGTCGGCTGCAATGCTGGAAGGGACAGAGAATCAGACGGAACTGAAAGCAGCTGCCGCGAAGATTTGGTCGACATCTGACGAACAGGTGACGCTTTGTTGTGTTCACCAGTTGGCGGTGGTTCCGCATCTTTTCGTCTGGAACTAGATAGTCTTCGGCCAAAGGAAAACCCACGAACTCTATCTGCACTGTCGAGAGGCTGAGTTGACCGGTCCGCCTGTTTATGTGAAAGGAACGATTGGGTGCTTCTTGTGTGTCGTAGCGGGAGGGTCAAGTCACGTTGGTCGATGCCCGTAGGTGAAGTAGTGACAAAAGACACTGTATTCACTCCGCGGGGAACAGCATTATGATATACATCGAAATATAACATTGGCTGTGTATCTGTGGGTTCAGCGGATGTTGGAGGTGTGTTTGCCCTTGGCAAGGTAGGTGAGGGGGCGAATCTGTTCATGGATGTGGGCGAGAACGTGGCTAAGGACGTTTCCGCAGAGTCGAGATTGTCGGCTACTCTTTGAATTGGAGGGGTGGGCGGGAGCTCCTTGTCCAGCATAAGTTTTGAGGGTTTTCTCCGAATGACGCCGAGTTCATCAGAGGGCATACCAGCTAGACTTCGGCGAGCAGACACGGAGGTAGGTAGCATCTTTCGTGTCCAGTGAGGAAGTGAAAAGAAATGAAGGGGACCATGACTGTTGTCACTAGTACTCTGAGGTTGGTGGCCGGCGGATTGATTGGGTGCAGAGTTGTCACGGTCGGGGAAGACGCGAGCAGTACTTCCATTGGCATGGGGCGGCGGGTTCAGAGTAGTATCAGGATGGCAACTACCCGTCGCTGGGGAATTCCTGCTTCCCGTACCCAGAAAGCCAACCATGCTAGAATTTCCTGGCTTCTCTGGCCAGCTGTAAGCGGTCAAACTTCTACAAGTGGCTGTGATGAGGTCTAGCGACCGGCGATGATAAGTACGAACAGCGATGCCAGTTTAGTGAAAAGAAGTTGACTTGAAAATCGTGGGCATGAGCGACAGTCGCGCTTTCCAGCACGAACGTGATTTCTAAGAGCTAATCAGCTCACAGCCTCACACCAACGAACTTTCAAGATCGTAATCGTCTTCTTCGGCCCACCAGCCATTTCAAACGACATGAGCTAATACTAATACTTTTCGTGGGATTCAGTGTATATATATTCGCACCACAGCAAAGCAACACAACGGCGGTAACAGTGAAGACGAGCATACATAGTTCGAACACCATGTGATGGGGACTGAAGCTGAAGTACTGAAGACTACAATAAATCTCATAATGCCCTGGCCTTCCGTCGTCTGTCCTTTTGAATCTTCGTCCTCTTTTCTTCGAGTTTGGCGTGCTGTGGAAGAGATTAAAACACAAACTCCATTGGATAACTCTAGGACGGACCTCAGTAGCTCGTTTTTTCTCCCCGTATTTCATTCTTTCGTACAGCTGGCGCTTGCGTTTGCTCATCAGGATCTTGTTCATGTCTTCCTCACCACTGCCATCGACAGCGGCGTCTCCCTTGTGCTTCTGCTTCTGCTGTTGCTGTTTCTTTTGTACCTCCTTCTCGAAAGTGCCATAGTCGACGCCTGCTGCTTCGGCCGCAAGCTCCACCGCACGCAAGGCCTCTGGGTCATCTGCAGCAGCCACCGCCAAGGCAGCCATTGAAGTTATGTCTCCCTCTAATTCCGGTCTCATCTCCACGTCTTCTATGTCCTGGCTGTCCTCACTGAGCTCAGCGTCGTCGACTTCGACCAACGAATTCTCGACGTTCACCAGGCCAATGGTTGGGTCATATGCTCCATCTCGTTCACCGAATGGTGATAGGTGGGGTGGAAGTGTCTTTCCCTGGGCATAAAGATCCTCGAGCAGGATTTTTCCAGCGTTGATGCAATCAACCACCCACTGAGGTTGTACATACTTCCTTCGTCTTCGACGTTCTCGTTCCTGGGCTGTATCACCCTTGGCAGTGGGCCTGTCAATAATGACGTGGGTGATTGCCTCATCATCCTCCGTAAATGGCGAGCCACCTCCTGATGAGACCGGCCAGCCTATACGACCGCCAAAAGACCGGATAAGGAACTCGAAAATTGATCGTGATGATTCGCGTGATAGCCAAAAAGTATATGGGGCAAATATGTTTGTCGATGATGGTTTTGGTAAGGATGAGAGTGAGAGAAGTGTAGGGAGCGACGACGGTACATCAAGATCAGATTTTGAAGCTTGCGGTACAAATTCCTCCTCAGCGGCATCGGGAAAGGAATTGGTGTGATCAGCGCGATCAATATCTACATCAGTAAAAGGCACCGAGGATGATTCTGCAGTGATGTTCTTGATTGTCTGCCGGACTTCCTTGCTGGATACCTTAGGAGCATCGTTCTTCGGTGCTCCAGTAATCGGGGTAGGGTTTGTTGTTCGGAGATTGAACGCTCCAACACCAGCTCCAGATTCGTCCTTGCCAGAATCCAAGGGTGGCGGATATACGAGTCCAGCATCTGTATATAACTTGAAAAACACAAACCCAAGTAACGTCTGGTACAGTTCGAGGAAGGTAAGCATAACACGGACATCCACATCGGATGGTATCTGAATGCAATGTATGAGCAACATAGACACAGATTCGATAAGATAGCTCACATTCTGAGGGAATTGATATGGCACGAGCCAGGTTACGTTCTGATCCATCACTTCTGCTTGGTAGTATACACCCTTGATAGACAAGAAAACATTTCGCAGTGACCGCGTGTGCATGACATATAATTGCCATTCTGCAGTCAAACGAGCACAGTTTTCGATGAGAGCGGACGAAACACGAGGATTCGAAGGGAGAGATGCAAAAAGGTGGATCATGCAAAGCGCATCGTCGATATCTCGTACTGCATCGATAAATGATGGGTACCTAAACTCGATCAGCCAATGCCTTTCAAGATGCCCTGCGTTGTATACCTCTCTTTGATAATATGATCCAATCGGTATACAGGTTTATTATCCTCCAAGTTCTTCGCAGTTGACCACTCTCCTCGTCCAAGTGCTCGAGAGATTTTTTTCGCAAAGGCTTTGTGCTCCCTCAGCTTATTGAGAACTGGCTCATGAGCGAGGTAAGCAATATCTTTCGCATAGTAAAATGATGTCGGTGCTGTTGATCCCTTGTTCGCCCTTTTCTTATGTCTGGGCTCACGAGGGAAGATTCCTATACAACTTTCAGTGGATTTGAATTGCGAAATAACTAAAGCGACTCGCCTTTGAGGATACATAGTCGGCGAAAGTCAGCCAGAGAGCACTGAAGTTTTTTCACAGCAGATGACCGTGTAACATAGGCCTTCGCTGCACCAGCCCTTCCTTTTTGTTTCAAGCGACCCATGGCAGACGATATTTTTGAGCAATTTTTTGCAAAAGCTTGACAAGAGCTCGCGATGATATACTTTCAGATTTCAGACAACTGAGTATTTTCGATCGTTTGTTTGGCCCTCACAAATAAACGCTCCTTACAAGCAATCATGAGGTAGGTGACAAGGCTGAAGGCATCTAGATGTTGGCTAATAACTTTGCAGTCAATACGTGCATGTACCAAAATCAGAACTCGACGAGGCTCAGCTGCGCCAGCTAGAGGAGCACGAAATCAGCCAGGGGCCCCTTTCAGTTCTGCAACAGGCAGTCCGCAACCATGCCCAAGTCCTCATTTCTTTGCGAAATAACAAAAAGCTTCTCGCTCGTGTAAAGGCCTTTGATCGCCACAGTAACATGGTGCGTCATGCTTTATTATTGCCTGCAAGCTCTAAAGTTGACGTGCTGCAGGTACTTGAAAACGTCAAAGAGGTCTGTTCTAGTTCATCACTAGCAGAGGTCGTACTGAACTACGATGCAGATGTGGACCGAAGTCCCAAAGGGTAAGAACAAGAAGCCAGTCAACAAGGATCGGTTTATCAGCAAAATGTTCTTGCGGTGAGTGATATATTCATATGTACTATCGCGGCAGGGTGATGATTGTGATCGGTCAGCGGAGACTCGGTAATTCTTAGTAAGTGGAGACACCCTGAAATATTTCTCACCTTTTTAACGTCCTTTAGTTCTGCGCAACCAAGCTTAGATCGACACCGAACAGTCTTCAAGGGCCGAAGGCACTCTGCGGCCCAACTCATCCCTTGTGCGGTTCCACTCCATGTATAGAATTTTTTGCTCCGACGCTGCACTACATCATCCTAAAAATCACTAAAAATCCGATACTTGTAAAGGAGATACGAATCTATGATGGCCAAAATTTCCAAAGATAATTTGATGAGGTTGAGGAGCCACAAAAGTTTTGCTGAAAGTTTTGATATCCCAGAGAATGATAGTACTCTAGCTTACCTGCGTTCGAAGCGCGTCTGGATTCTGAAAAGTACGTCGTGATATTGATCCTGACATGGTATATTAACACATTATATGTGAACTATACTGCCCTCAATCGTCATAGTACTAATTCGGTCTGTCTTTTCTCAAGCTTGGGTTGCTCTCGGCTGGTGCATATTTCGTACAAGTTATCCGCACTTAGATGAGCCAGTAGGTAGACATGTCACTGGACTGCATGAGCAGTTTGAATAACCTCCAGAAAGGATCGCCAAATGCAAATGCTTGCGCCTTTCTTAGCCTGCCTAAAGAAATCCTAGTTTCTCATACACCTGCAGTCGTGATACCCTCCAAGAATATGTATCTAGGCATGATTGAGTTCGAATGGATCGTACAAGACGCAGATTACCCAGATCATGCAAGTAGTCATAGAGTATGACGGATGTCAAAACATAGGACGGTACGAGCTCGCCGTCACGCGTTGACATGAAGAAGACGCTCGACACTGGAAAGGGTGGCTAAACAGAACCCGACATATATTCTGAGACTTCTGAAAGATCTCGCCCAGGCCCCAGCACACATCAAGTCGAAGGGAGATGGGAGCCTCGAACAATCGACACAAGTAGATCTCTCGGCTAGTAAGCTTGGAGTTCATGCTGAACATGCAGTTTTTGTCCAATAAATTGTCCCTGTGGGCCTCCTGAGTGCTGATATCATTTTGACGCTGTTAGATCCGCTCTAGATAACCGTGGCCATCGCAAGGGACAACCGCAAGCTGTTCCAGTATCTGACTAGCACCTTCGACTGTTTCGATGCACAGTGAAGGAAGTGTGCCCAGAGCACCAGGACTTACTGGGGTCTAGGGAATATTAGGGAATTATGCAGGTACGAAATACGGGCTTAAACCCTTACCTGCGATATCCCACTAATATCTTTCTTTGTTCCTGATTAAAGGTCAGATAAGATCCCAGCCTTAGTCACGATCATCCCATTCAAAGAGAACTACCGCACACCCAACACATCAAGATCGCAAGAAACTGTATCGCGTTGCTCCTCCCTGCTGCACACAGCTCAGCAAGGTCCAAATATGACAACTCAATGATGAAGGCTCAACTCGTTCCTAGCGGTGACCGGCACCCTGGGGGAGTGGTCGTCGCTGTAAAGAGATTATCCTGCTACGGGCACTTTTTTTTCGAGAACCCACGCCGTTAAAGCTATGTCTGGTTCATCGACTGCAAGATGGATACCAAATTTCAATCTGAGTCCCAGTCATAACGGTGCGAAGCTTGGACCCCAAACTGCGAACTTGAAGGGACTTTTAGTAACATTTTCATAGGACGTCCTGAGTGAACAAACAAGAGGAATGGATATCGTTTATACTTATCTTCATATATTCTTGGGTTGAAGTCAATCAGGTTGCATGATATGCGAGACAGAACCTTACCACAAACTGAAGATAGAAAGGCCTGTTCAAACAGCAACGCAATTTTGCATAGTGGGGTGAGCTGTCCTTTTATCAGTATCGCGCTACTGTTAATGTTCGCCCCTTGTCACGATATGAATGAGGGTTGATAGGAAATACACCTTCATTGTGTGATTTGCGACGAGGATGTGGTATTTTCAAATCGTTCGACACCCATCCAGATGGATGAGAAGAGTGCGGACAGTTCCCATCTGATCCTTGTCCTGACTGTAATCGTCATCGTGTGTGCATGATCCTGCTTGCGACGAAGAAACTTCTGCGTCTTTGAAAACTCTAAGAGCCTCGCCATCCCAACAGCTCTGGTGACGATGGTATCACCTATAGGGCCTGAGGCTGTGATGTTGGAAGTATTTGCCGAATTTCTCGACGAGCCATATTGATTTTTTCCTCTATGACAACCTAACCTACGATGAGCGCCAGAGGCGTAATCACGAAGAATAAGACCAACTCACCACGTCCGTCAGCCATTTATTGCGTTCGATTTCACTGCGAAACCAGGCGATGGTCTCCGACCTTGCCTGTGGGTCGGGTATGTCTGATGATGGTGATGAACTGTAGTAATTTTTTTAGAGAATACAACAGCGCACATTTGGACGCTCTTATAGCATGACGATACAGGTGTATAACTCTCTGCTGCAAAATGAAATACTTGAGACCAAAATCTGGCATGTGCGCTCTTGAATGCTACAAACAAGAAATTGTGGCTAGAATTAGAATTGCTCTGTTTTGCTTTTCCGCTCTTCAAGTCCGCGTTGCTGGCATTGCTATTGGGGCGACATTTTACTTCTCTCACAAGTTTATTCAACATTTCATTCACACCACAATGTCTGGTGTAGAGAACCAGGTCGCTGTTCATGATGTTGTCTCTCCAGAGGATGGTGTTATTGACAACTTATCTAACGCTATGGCCAAAGTTTCTCTCCGACCAGACAATTCATCTTCTCAATCACCAGAATCCGTTACTGACGGTCTTAATAAAGACAAAAATGATATCCATGGTCGACCCTTTGTTATGTATTCCCGACTTCATCTACTGCTCCTTCATAAATCTCCCTTGGTCTGTACTCCGACTGGCATGCCGGCTTTGAAGGATTGGTTTGGGTTCGTGCCATGTCCTACTCCTCGAGTTTGTGGCTTATTCTACCTCTCAAGAACCGAAAGCGACCAAGGCAATCTTAAAAAGGACTCAGAAGCACTTCCTCAGCCCAATGCTCGTGACCGACGGTGAGGTCTGCTAATACCACCATTTAGACCTACCTAACGTCATTACAGCTTTCGTAGAGATGCAGAGGACGGGGGTAAGCATCTTGATTACCTTCTCTTGAGACCGGGTCTGATCAGTGTCATTAGAAGGCGCCGCCCGGCCTTCCTTTCGTGGGGCTGCCATCACGCAGCCCTCGCAAATGGGCAACTTCAAGCACCAGTCCATTCGTGCAACTGACCGAGACAGAGACAGAGAAACGGACAGAGAACAAGAACGTGATTCCCGGGTTAAAGATGGCCAAGAAAGACTACGGAATGTGAGTGGTCCAAGCTGTTGCGCGCCAGGGCGCTCATATGTTGTCCAAGTTGTCGGACAAGTATGACCGTGACCGTCGTGCTCTTTCTTCCATGCAGCAGCTTCGAGGAAAGGACAGGGACCTAGCCCCTCACCTTGGTGGCACATCCTCTCGAATAGCGTCCCAGTCGCAGCAAGCTCCGAATAATCGCCAGCTGGACTCCCGAGAACCTTCCAAAAAGAAAGATGGTGAGACCAGCGAAGATTGGAGACGTGGTACGTCCCCTACCTCACATATATCTCATATTACTAAGTCGTGGAATAGAATCAACTCGTACAGGCCGTGAACGTAGGACTGAATTTTCTGTTCCTATATAATGACCGCTCATCGTTCCTCTAGGTTCTGATAATCCTCGGCGCGATCGAGACGAGCGTGACCGACCTCGCTCGAGGGTCCGTGATTCTTCCCGCCAACGACGAGATGTTTCACCATCGAGACGTGATCGGGATGACAGGGATCGTGATCGCAGAGGTGACCGTGATGACCATCAAAAAGAGGCAGCGGGATACCGAAAAGACAAGGATGACCGTGACTTGGATCGAGAATCTGAGGTGGACGATCCTCGCCGCTGGAGGGACGACGGAAAGCGTGATGAGCGTATGGCAGCGAGACGGGACCGTGAACAGCGGGACCGCGAACGAGACAAGGACCGGGTACGCGACCGCCCTGCCGCGTGGGACGCTAGCGATCGTCAGGATCGTCGATGGGCTCCCGCCGATGACCGTGATGGTCGAAGCAAGCGAGTGGCTGGTCGCGAGAGAAAACCCGACGAGGCGAAGGACAGGGACGATCGCAAGGATCGTGACAGAGAACGTGAGAAAGAAAGAGAGAAGGAGCCTGCATGGATGGACACATACATCCCTTCTTCTGGCAGCAACGGTTTAGGCCGTGCCCCCGGAGACCTAGATGGCATACAGGCGTTCAAGCGAGAGATCAAGGAGAGAGAGCAGAAGGAGCAAGGTACTAGTGCGCAAGACGATGATCATTCTGGTGACTTTGAAGGGAAGACGAATACGTCCGAACCCCACCTGGACGAAATTCAGCTCTTCAAGCTGATGATGAAAAGGGAAGAACAAAAGAAGAAAGCTGATCAGTCTCCTCTTGCGGGTCCATCGTTACTTGCAGACACATCTTCAGAGACCAAGGACTCAACTCCTACGAACGGCAAGTCAATTCTTTCTCTCGGGCAGGCTCGATGTGCTAATACTCGGATAGACCTGTCATCGACTGAAGCAACTGCGGTGCACCGCACTTATCTTCCACCTCAGCCAATTTCTTCGCAATTGTCTGCTTCTCCACCTCCACCACAGACTGAGCCAGCTCCTCACGATGGTTCTCGTGTACTCCTGTCTATGTTATCGTCCCCAACGTCCTCCGTTGCACCTGGAGTACCAACAGGTGCCCACGAATCCGATATCGACAAAGAAAAACTAGGAGGTTCTCGCTTCTTCCCCAAGCCTGTCTCTGCTGATTTACCGGCACCTCAAGCTTTGCCAAAGCCGTCTATCGAAGCGCCCAGTCCCGCTGTCCCATCAGCTCCTCACGCTGCTCCTCCGCCAGGTTGTCGTCTTCTTTCTTTTGCCTCCAAAACTCCTCAGGGGTCTGTAGGGCACACCCCTCCCTCGTACACAGGTTCGCATTCCCCCGTGTCTTTGTCGAAGAATGGCACGCCAGCAACTAACTCAACCATCCCATCAAATGGACCTTTGTCAACTGCACATCATAACGACAATTTGGACGCTGTGAGAGCAACTCGAGGCTTCTCGCCGTTTGAGGAAACTCGGGAAGGACTTGGAATGTCGCCTTTGGATGCGTTCCGTCGAGCTTCTGTTGCACCTGGAGATCGCAATGCCTTTGGACATATGAGCCTCGAACAAGTTGATGTACCCATTAGCGGGCCCTTGCCTAGCCACTCTGTTCCGTACGAGCAATTGAACTCTGGAGTCGCAGCTGCGAAAGGCAGCCGGTTTGCGAAGTTCTTTGACGGGAAAGGGAGAGATTCTCAACCAGGAATGGGAAAGGCTCCAATGGGTGGCCCAACACCAGCTCAGAGAGGCGAGCTCAGTGGATACAATGGAATACTAACCGGCAATCCGGATGCCAGAGCTATGGAAGATATATTTGCCATGTTGAGCAACTCAGCACATGTAGGTCGTATCCCCGTCTACTTGTTATCGGCACTGATATCAATTTTAGGGTCAGAGGCCTCATATACTACCAGAAGTGTTGGCTTCAGATACTGCACATTTCAATCATCCCTCCAACCTTCACCATCTTCAAAACCAACTCGGTCATTCCCAGCACTATCCTGGCCACACCCGCCTGGACTCATTGTATGATAGCCGTCTTGACGACAGGAATTTTGTCCCAGATGGCATGGTGCCCGGTTTACGCTCCGCTGCCCCTCCTAGGAACAGGCAAAACGGCGCCATGCTCTCTGACATCGATGACTCTATGCAGTTTGGTGGTCAACGTGGTCCTCCTCAAATGTACCAAGGATTGCACCAGGCGAACATGAACCGCAATGGAGGCATACCTCTCCAATCATCCCAATTCCGTGGTGGCCCTTCACCGAATCCCTTGCAGCCTTCAGCTCAACGCTTGCCGCCTGGTTTGGCTAATTTAGGTGGGCGACCGCCTCATGAGCCTGCTCAATTCTTGAATTCGGCAATGACTATCCCTGGTGGCCTACACGGTCCGGTGCATGGTAATGCCGCCCTCCAACAGCAGTTTAACAACTTCCCTCCGGGAGGTGTTGGCTTCAACGGCGCTCCTCTGCGTGTGCCTCACCCCGGAGGAACCCATCAGCTGCACGGACACAATACCATGCAAGGCTTGATGCACCCTGGAGGTCTTAACCCTGCGCAAGCCCAGCTTCTGGGGTTAAATGGTGCTAATGGTATGCCAGGTAGTCTTCGTGGTCCTAACGGAGGTTTTGGACAACAGGGTCCTCAGATCCAGCCTCCTATGCTCTCCATGAGGCAGCAGCAGCAACAACAAATCCCTCCACACATGCTTCCTCTCCATTATCAACAGCAGGGCCCGCCTGGCCCAACCAACCAACCCGCCCACGATCTCATGGCGCTCTTGATGAGCGGAGGAAGAAGGGAGTGAGAGTTTTCACGGGCTACTTACGGTCTCTTATCCTCGTCCAACATTTTCGTTCACTCTCGGACTCACCTGATAATTTTCTCTCGTTAGTTTAACAGTTGTGCTCATACTGTCCGTCTATCATGTTTCATTCTGATTCTTCGCAAGCGTATATTATTGACCATTTTGGGCTTGGCTGCACTTCTCCGACGGATGGCTGTTCAATCCGCGTCTGGGACCTGGTGAATCATTGAAGAGTTGGCCACGTCAACCGCTCAACGGACAGTGTATTAATAGCGGTTCATAATATTGAGCTCTACTACCTGACTTGTGGTCTGATCCTCTTGAACGTGAGTATTTCAAACGCCACCATCATTACGATGGGCGATGGACCTGTGACGCAAATACTCATGGGTTCTCGCGGCGTTCTACATTTGGCCTGTAGAAATGAATGGAAGGACTATGCTCATAGGTTTACTAACTGCATAAAGAAGGACATATGTACTGTCTACGTAACTTATGGATCTCTCGACGCTCGCGCCGCACTGGTTCTGAGCTTCTGTAACTGCTGTGCAAGGAGTCCTTGGCAAAATGCTTTACGAGGATAATGATTCTTGCGACTGCGAACATCAATCGCAGATTCCTTGACGGCGTGCACTTCAAACTTTAAAACATTTGGAGCTTGTTTGTAGTGTTCCATAATCTATGTCTGAAAATTCCGTGGTAACCACGAGATCAATGACAGGCGGCGCCGCGCTCCTTACGGCTCCTTTCACAAGTCGGATCGCCGTGGACATAAAACTAGCTGGTGGCTTGGGATCCTGAGAGGTTGGCGCAAAAAACACTCTATCTCCGAATCATATCGATCCTCACTGCAAGGTCTTTGAATGATATTTAACTAGTAACTTTATCTATCTGATGAATACGTATATAAGGACGAAGGGTTAAAAGGGAATATTGCTGAATCAAGTTTCAGACTGTCACGGTCTTGAAGCACTCATGGCATGATGACATGTATTTTAGTCAATCTAAGGTGATAAGGGGTGATGGGTCCTGACTGCTCATACTATGGATGCGCGCTGAGTGTCAACGTCGGTCTTCTACTCGGTCCCCTCCCACTGATGTGGCATTCTGCTAGTGGGCCGCTCAAACTGTTACTGTAGAAATCACTTGATTCGGATAACATTAGGGTCATCCGATAGGGACGCTGCCCCCTTCGATGATCGATGGACCTATATGGACCGATGGCATCATTAGACACTCGATAAGAGGTGACTGATGGGAGGTACGCTGTGGGAGTTTGGGTGCTTGGAGAGGCGACACACTAGTAGCCGAACTCATAAGGTATCTATACGGGAAATTGGGACAACTATCGAGACTCTGATGGGAAGTCGACCAGAGAGACTAAGCCGCAGAGAAGAATGATATCGAACTTACATAAACCTATGCCTGCAGGCAGACAACGTGGACTTGATACTGCCAAATCAGAACTGACTATGTCTGAACTGAATTATTATTGCCGCGAGAATCACAAGTGTAAGAAATAATAATACATACTGATTGCTTTGACAAAGGGTTAAGCGGTACACGCCTTCTCTGCATTGCACTCGACAATTACCTCCTTCCGCGATTGAAAATTTGTAGGATTACATTCATTCCTGCAACTATCTCTCAATCCCGTTCCTCCCCGGCGCAAGCCAGTTTACGAGTACAAAGCCACATCCGCTCTTGTGCCCGTGACGCTCGATTAGCTTCGAGCGACTCTTTATAGTCGTTGCTCTGCCTTTACTCTACTAGAAACAAACAACTCACTCAGTCTTTCCTTTGTCCGGTCGTCCCTCCCATTCTTTCAACAAGTTCCCTGACAGCACTACTTTTTTGCCTGAATAATTTGCCCTAATCGTTCCCCCACACCAATTTTCTTTGTCGGTCACATCTCCCGAGGCCGCTTGTAAGCTATCCGCGCATCCGATACCATCGATTGTGACTGATATGAGATGTGATAGCCAGCACACCGGTGTCGGTCAACATTGTTCACAAGTGCGTACCTTACTATGGCCCTGACAGCGCAGACCAAGCTAACGGCTGTTGACAGCATATATTAACAAGCAAGACCCGGTCAAACAAGTGTATTCGAGGTGAGGCTTATTATTGATTGATGTCATTCTTTTGGTCGCTGTAAAACGTGGGGTCGTGGGAATATGCGCCTGTCCCTTGTTGCGGGGATATTGAGATCTCGCCCGAGGTCGTTGCAGAGCCTGAGCGCTCATCTAGGGCCTTTGGGACAGGGTTGAGGAACATCTGACGGGTATAGTCAGATGCCAAGGAGACTAGGGTTAACTGTCTGATTCCCCTTGCTTGAATATTTCTTGTCGTTGTCGTTGCTGCCATGGTATATTTTTGCATGATTTTGGACCTTTCACAGAAGTTCACATGAAAGTGGTCTTTTTTTTTTCTTTGAATTTCCTTTTTAATTTCAAACTACTTGACGAGCCGATTCTGCCGTTTGCATCTTATACTCTTTTTGAGTGTCCTCACTCTCTTCTTCTTCAATCAACGTAGTCTTCTCTTCAAGGAGACTTTTTTCTGCTCTTCAACGAGTCTTTTTTGTAGTACCTGTCGTCCTCCAACCCTCTCTTGATCTCCCTATCTTTACTCTTTACGACCATCAACGCTGACCACGACTTGTTCATATCTAGTCCCCACACGCCACTCTTCACCGCCATCACGACAACCTTTTGTTGTTCGCCCTCGCATGATCAGTTTCTGACTCTGGTGAGTCTGCTCTTTCCAGATTTCGCTTATCTTAAGTGGTATCACATCGTGAGACCGTGCATTCCAAATGTCATTCCCTAGACGTCGGCATGCCGTGACAGAATGAATGCCTTTCATTGGCAATAAACAAACACGCGGTGTTCAGCCGTTATGTGGTTGTTGCCATTTCTCTCCCTTCATCCTGCGAGCGCTCGAGGCGCTCGCTCATTTAATCATGTCTTCTCCCGCCTCATTTAATAACATCATTGCTGATGCAGAATCTACTCCTCTCTTCGCTCAATTACCCCCCTCAAGCCCACTATCGGTCATACGCTTTCCTAGATCGATCTCGCCCGCCGCTTCTTCAGTTATGAAAGATATTTCTACGACTTCTTATCGGAGTTCTCGAAATGCTGCGTACCCCAAGAAACGGCCATCACCTTCAGGTATATCGAAGCATCACAAGACATCCCCTCTCGGTCCTCCTCCTGTAACCCGCCGAACACCTTATTCTGCAAAGGCGTCACTGTTGCAGCAGCGACAACGTCAAGCTCAAATCACCGCTCTTCGCAGGCAAGGCATTTTCCTGGAGGAGGAATACCGGGAAGATATTCGTTTCTACATGCATGAGATGGAGGTTTGTGCGACTTCTATTACTGGCTTACTGGCGGCTTAATCCTTTTGGTATAGCGATATACCATGTCATCCTCACAGTCGATGGATCAGCAACCCGAGATCCGATGGCACATGCGCCCATGTCTCGTCGATTTTCTCGTTGAGATTCACTTCACCTTCCGACTTCGACCTGAGACGTTATATCTCACTCTCAATATTGTGGACCGTTATGTCTCTCGGCGAATAGTTTACATCAAGCACTACCAGCTCGTAGGCTGCGCGGCGCTATGGATTGCTGCCAAGTTCGAGGATGCAAAGGAACGCGTTCCGACGGTTCAAGAGCTTGCACAGATTTGTCGTGACACGTATGACGAGTCCGCTTTCATTCAGATGGAAGGCCATGTACTCCAGACCATTCAGTGGACGCTAGGCCATCCGACTGCAGAAGCATGGCTCAGACTAATGTGTTGTGAGCCATCTGTCGAGGAAGAAAAGGTTCAACATGTTGCACGTTTCCTGATGGAAATCACTCTGTTTCACCGAGAGTTCATTAAATACCCTCCCTCCTCGATAGCACTTGGCGCACTCACGCTAGCTCTCTTCCTGTGCGGCAAACCACGCCGCATCTTTGAGGAAACGGAGGAATGTTTGGAAATCGTCGATTGTCTCGATAATCGCTTGGCTAAGCATGTCAACGACCTTTCGGAGACGCTGGTAAAAAAGTACTCCTATGCCTTTTACTCCAAGGCGGCAACATTCGTTGTACAGTACTACCTCCAGGGTGGGCGGTTCGTCCGGCAGTCCTTCATTACTCTTCCGATGACGCCCACTCGCCCATCAGTGTCCGGTGCCAGCACACCTATGAGCGCCACGACATCTGTCTCTGATTTATCTGATGATTTCCCTCTCACTCCAACGAGTCCCTCATCATTCTCCCCCGAACCCTTCTCGAACTCTTTCCTATCAGAAGACGACAAGGAAAATTTACCAACAACGTTTGAGCCTGTCATCAATAAACAGCGCACGGAGGTCCCGCCCGACCATTTTCTGCCTCATGACTTCGTTGCTTTTGGCCGTCCGGCCTTGCACCACTTGAATGGCTCACCACGAATGACCGCCGTCTCATAGCGCGCAGGTCCGTACGTCAACTCCATCCGTGTCGAAAAGACTGTTTCAACCCCCGCAAAATGTAATACCACCCTACACGCTCAGCCACTCTGCGCATTGTCTTTGCAAGTCTCATCATCCATGCATCACTTTCTTTTTCTGCAATCGTCTCGTTTCCCATCATCCATCCCGCGCACAATCTACTGTAGGGTGAGCGGTTGCCCTGAGAAGTCGGATTCGCATCAGCGTGCCGCATACTCGATACAAGGACGGACGGGTGACATAGCTGTCCTGTACCACTGTCCTTTCCGCTTGTCATCCTTCTCAAGGAAGGTCTGCCTTGCCATATCTGGTCGTCCTGCCAAACCACAACATTATCTGCATCATTCCGCTTGTTAGTCCATGCATCACCCTACCCGTCGTAACTCCCTCGACTCCCGTCTTCTTGCAACGAACCAGGTCGACAACCTCTGTCCAATTCTGTGTCTATCGCATTCGTTCTATTTTATTCTTCACTTTATCGTATCCTTTAAATTCCTGTCAACTATCTGGTTCGTTGTGGGGCGATTTCTTGCATTCTCTGTCCCGCACCCCCATCGCGCGAACCGCTTCTTTGTGCTTTTACTCTCCCTTTCATTTGCACACTGTCCGCGCATCCATCCTCGTCATTGTTGCAGCAATCACACTACCACATCGAACTTTGTCTACAATTACATTTGCAATCTGAAGGGCTCAACAGGTGTTTCCATTATACTGGTAGCGCGCTCATTTTTAGCGAGAATGGAATCGGTGCTAGATTCTCTCCGATGGGACGTCCATCAGAACAAGGGTGGAGTATATATCTCCTGCACAGCAAAAAATAATTTCAAATATCCGAGGCGGAGACTAGGAGCTGATAAGTATTATAAGAAGCTCACAGAGTACGGGTTGTCAGTTGATGGATAGATTGTGACCGCCAGTCATGAATCGGCCTCCCACACTTTTGTCAGGTTCTCAAGAACGTCTCAGGTGGTTCTTCCTACAACAACCGAAATTCCCTGTTTCAAACCGATCGACTAGCTTCCACAGTTGGGTGCCTGTTCTGTTCTTCATGCGAAGAGAACAATAGACAATATGTAAATCATTATGGCAAGTGAACGTTCATTAAATAAGAGTGGACACAGCGCGCGGGAATGAGTGGATACCTACATTATTGAAGTCAGGTTGCACATGGTCAACATCGTTGATGTGTTATTCCTCCGCGGCAGTGGCACGGAACTCGGTCTTCCCTCATACATGTTGGTCTAATACAATGATTTTGAGGATAATACAACTTGGGTAAAAAAACTGTTGTTGCATGTAAGATTGTGAAGGCGTTTGAAACCTCTTATTGCAGTATCCATTCGTCTCCGCTCTTCTTGATACCAACGGCTCTCTTCTCATCCAGACTGATACGGCCAGCGTTGAGAATGGCAGTTGTAAGCACGGTGTTTGCAATGGTCGGATAGCCGTGACCATCATAATCGGAGGGTTTTGCAACGCCAGCGTTGACCTCTCGGGCGGCATCGATGAACTTTTCGATAGAAATATACCCGTAGCCCCGTTGTCCGTCGAAATGACCGGTCTCGGACGGCGAATATTTCATACTAGTGATGGATAGTTAGATTCACATATTTTTTTCAGGCCCAGGAGCTCACTAGAATGGATTATACCATGTCTTCCCAGTTTCATCGACGGTGATATCATACCCACGGTGAGCTTGGTCTACATTTATGTCACCCTGCAAATCAAATTAGTAGAAGCTTTACGTTGTTACAAGAAAGACAGTCGTGTGACCGACCCACCTTCGAACCCATGTAATACCAGTGCTGGGCAGAGTGAATACCCGCCTTCAAAGGTGCGGTCCAAGATGCCGTGTAGACTGCTGTGCCCTTGTGTCCCGGACTCTTGATCGACTGCCAGTCAACGAGGAGCGTGATAGTGTCCTCTGTTTGAGGGACACAGTTGTATGGCTCCCCCGTAGCAATACCGGTTGCTGCACTGGCAACAACTCGCGTGGGTACTGCTTTGTCTTGGAGAATCCAGCAGCAAATATCAATATGATGAGACGAGAGATAATAGCTGGAAGCAACCATCAGCGTACAGATTAATTTGTAAACCGAGGAACTTACCTGATGTCTGAATCCTTGCCAGCCCAAGCACGGAAGGTTTCCAGCTGACTCTTCGGCTGACTCATCCATGCGTTGAAGAAGTTGAATTCGCCAAGTGTCTGTGCTCTGGCTTTGGCATCGCTATACACAGGATCAAAGCGCTTATGATGCTCCACAAAGCAGACAACGTTGTGCTTTCTCGCAGCTGCGATAAGCTCATTGTGATGTGATAACAGTTTGGTTGCAGGCTTGGTGACGAGAACATGAATGCCACGTTCCATCGCGTACAGACTAATGGGGTAGTGAGTGCCTATCAATGATCTCGTTAGTGATGAATCTAGATGTTAGACACGCGAAAGATCGAAACTCACTGTCAGGGGTAAACACGATGATAGCATCTCCGGGAGACATTTTGTTGATGGCATCCTTGTCTAAGAAGGTGAGACATCTGCACAGCACACTTAGAACCAACTCACAAGCCTCAGGATCAATATTTCCCTCTTTTGGATACTCCTCAAAGCTGGTCGGCGATCGGCGGTTAGTCAAGAACAAGCGGTGTCAATGCAATCACGCACGAGGTGTCCATATCTTTGTAAACACTCTCGATATTCTCTTGTAAGTGTTGGCGTATGGCGGGGAATTTGCTACCATTAACGCCGACCATTCCGAGCTTGCCGATCTAACGTTAAGACAGATGTAAACGCGGAAAATAATCGCCCCACTGTCAGTATTACGCACTTTGCCTAACCTTCGAAGATCGAACATCGTAAGACCAACCACCTTATGTCATGATCTGAGTCATTGACCAAACGACTAAGTCAGGGGATGGGCATACCCCAATCTACGAAAGCCAAGCCTTAGCGGTCAGCGAAAATAAACAAGACAGATGTACGACACCTTCTTGTCGGATGTAGAGGCTCCAGAACCAGTCCATCCAGTGGTGTACTCTCCCTGAGGATCACGTCAGAAGATAGGACAATTGCCGGCTGATGAACACTCACAGTACCACCTATTGCAAGTACATTGCCTGGTTAGAGTTGTGCCAGGTAACATTGATCAGCTTACACATTAAAACGTTCAATTTACTGAGGTTCGACATAGCGATGTTAAGGACCAACGGTTGAGATATCAAATGAAAGAAAGGATTCAGGAAGTGGCCAGTTGGCTTAAAACCCAGTAACGGCTCAGGCTGCGGCCCGAACGCGCATGACAATCGGACCGCATATCAGAAAATGTTGCATCACGCAGGCTTTCCTGTCGTGGGACACGGCAGGGAAGATGACTAAGCGTGCGTCGGCAGCTGTGTGACGACCCCGGATAGCGCGCGCTCCCTGTGTGTCGACGAGTGGAGGCTGATACACAGGGAGAAAGCCAGCGGGAACGTTAGCACTGGTATGCAGCGCGGGCGCAGGGCAATATGCTTACCTGCGAGGGATATGCTGCAAACGCCTCGGGTAAGTAGAAATTTGACTCCGGCTGCCGAAAAAGGCTGCATGTTCCGTGAAGACGAAAAAAATGAGACTGGCTCTGGGACACGCTACTCACCTGAGCTCCTGCCAAAAAACGCGTGTCCCAGAGCGAGGTGAAGTGATGATTCTTGTCTGGGACACGCGGGTTTCACCGTGGAGCCAGCGCCAGATGCGAGAAGTACGAAATCATGTAGTGATTTTGCAGTCCATTGTGCTGTCATTACCTGTGCAGTAGCACAGAACCTCGAATTTTGCGGCTAAAAAAATTATCCCTTTCACGGCACAGTATACCACACGTTCCTACACCGTACCCAGAAATTTCTGCCACTAAAACGGTGCAGAAAACACGTCTCTGTGCTCGAACGCCTATATCGTCACTTCGGGGTCTTCGATAGTCACGTGAACCGAGAAATTCCCGGCCCGCTTCGGAGGTTGTCTATCATGAGACCACATCGAAGAGGGAACTTCCAAGGACTAGGTGAAACTGTGATGTCACGAGGACCAATCGTGCATACATTCAAGCGTAGTCGCGCCCGGAGAGACGGTAGTTGGATACGCGGTAGATGCAAATGCTACACCATTCTGGGCTTAAGTTGATCCCAAGCCTGCTAGTAGGTTCCGTGGTTTCGATTGCGGGGCGTTCCAGCAGCCAGCTAAATGTATGTCCAAAAAGAATCACTGGACACGGGTGGTTGCCGGAACAGACATAGGTGTTAAGGGCTCGGATACGAGGGGCGCTCGCTGCATGGCCGTTAAATTTATAAAGCCGTCTACCCATGTTACCATTCGGAACCACTGCACATTGATGTTAGATACTCCAAATTTTCGCAGTTCTGCTGACTACTAGAACTTGGAGCTTGGAGTCTCGAAGCTCGAGGGAGATGGAAGCTAGTCCTTAATAATATCGAACCGCTACGGTCAGCGACTGATTCGTATAGAACCTAGAAGGGCGCGGAATCTCCCGAGAAGCCTTGTTGCTGAACTTGCAGGTTTGCACGCCGAGTCAAGCTCTCACAAATGCCTCGCGGAAGGTGTGCAAAACACCTGGGACACAAGAGTCGTTTCCTCAAATGTTTGGTATCCACCCTTACGTGTCCGATGAGGTGTCGAACACCTCGGGAACATCGGGACGAGCCAACGACATGGCAATTGCGAAGGTGGATTCATTCACTACAGCATATGTAGTTCGCTTCAACCTGCCAAACTGGCTAGCGACATTTATAACACTGATATATAATAAAATGTTTTGATCGAAATATTTTGAGCGCAGTCACTACACATAATAAGCATCGTACCTTCTCTGCACCAAGAGCGCCGTCGTCTTCGTCTTCCATAGGTTCAGTCCAAGTCATCTTGTACCGAATTGGAAGAGTCAAAGAACCGCGAAACTAGCACGTGTTTCATTTATTATTGTGACGTCACAGGCCTTAAGCAAACCTCGTGGCTACTCCTTAGCCGCGTCTTCAATTTAGTGGCTGCACACACGCAGCGCATAAGAATATTCTGCTGCGCAAGCGTCGTCTGCGGACAACCTCGCCTTGTGTGCCTTGCTTTAATCTACTGTGAACGGTTAGCGCACACTTGTCACTACCAGGTAAGTTTAATCGATCTGGGCTTGATGTCCTTCCTTTGCTAACCTTGCTGCCAGCCGTTTTCCGCCTGGAGTCCATCCCGACTCTCCGTGCCTTTCTCTCTCTAGCAATATCTGTGTCATTTTGTTGTATCTGCTAGACGCACCTCGTCTCGGCCAACCATCGCAAACATGCAGCCTGGCTCTGTGACAGACTCTGGCTTCATTCCAAGGAAAGAGTTTATTCGTGAACAACGAGCTACGAACATCTTTGGCCTTCTTGCTATCTCTGGCTCAAGCTGCATCAGGCTTTATTCTTTTCCTCCCGATGTCATTGCAGCTTTACGTCGACTCCTTGATCACTTTTACCTGACAGGTGGATTTCGTGAGGATACACAGCAGAACTTCTGGGAATTCACCATAACTCAAAAGCCCTGGAATTCACCAAAGAGTCCTCGTACAGAGCGAATTCTTCTCGACATACTCGCTGTCATATATAGGTTTGGATACACTATACTTTCCACCGTCGACTATGGTAGGGAGCGCGACGATCGTTTAGCTATCTCATTTTCGAGGCCCCTTTTGCCTTCTTCGCCTGCCCCACCTCCCGCCCCACCTCCCGCTGGCTCAGGGAGTAACATTTCGCACCAGACGGGGCTGCAAACGGAGAGAAGAATGCCCTTTGCCATCTCATTTGTCTCGCAGACCATCATGCGAGTCATCAATCCACCACTAAACGCAACTCCAGCAATTCTTCAAGCCGTGCGAGGATCGTGGCCTCGGGGCGTATTGTCGGAGAAGAAGACGGACAATGCGTATGAATTCAAGTTGAAGGGATATAGCTGTGAGTGTCCTTAAGTAAAATTCATGTAGGTTTTAAAGACTTTTATGCAGGGTTCCACGAAGACACATTTGCGACAGATTCTCTGCGACACATCCTTTCACTTCTATCATCTCTCGATGCTCATGCATGTTCCCTTGTCATTTCGCTGGCAATCAATGGCCGTTCCAGAGTCAAGGACCTCTGGGTCTTTACTGGCCCTGGCACTACTGAGACTGATCCTTATTGGCCCGAATCTCCTATAAGTCAATCCGGCTCTATGCTGGATGTAAGAAGATCTCATCGGGCGTCGACGCCCGAACCACCAGAAGCGAGTATGATCCCCAGTTCTTTGCATAGAAGAGCCGCTACTGGTCCTCAGCACCCGCCTCACAGCTTGCCGTCCTCTCAGACGTCGCCTCACCACGTGCGGTCGGCCACAGAATCCATCGTATTACCACCCCTTGCGACAAATTTGCCACCTCGTGCAGCGCCAGGCAATCAAATGCGAAAGCCTGCACCCCGCGCACAAGTGCCAGTATCTGTTGACTTCGACGCTCCAGATGATGAAGAACATGGACGATGTCGCACTTCTCTCGCTAGCGCTGTGCCAAGTAGTTGTGAGAACATGACTGGTATAGGTTCCATGGCGCGTAATAGATTCACTTCCAATCTCATCTACACAGCAACCCCTGGCCCACTTCCTGAATCGGATCATCCCACTGAAGATGCTGTACACTCGTCGCCACCCCCTGAACGACATCATCGTAGACCGAGGTCGAGATCTCCGTCTCCCCAACGCCGGGTAAGCGCTCTGCGACCGGTATCGACTCGTTCGAAGACCCCTCCGCTCCTCCGATCACATTCACCACCTAGGGACCCTCGCACCCCCTCACCGACGCCTGCTAGCCATGATGTTTCGATGAATGAGGGCCCGCCCTCCTCAGCCCAGGGATGTTTCGTATGAGAGACTCAGCATACTCTGTGAATACTATTGACACGGACATGTCTTCCGGGGCCCCGTTCAAATGGCCAGGACTTGGCCGGCCAGATGGCATTGAAAACATTGAGGAGGTGCACGAGGAACCATGTGAGGAATCAACGCCGCATGTTTTACCTGGCGCATGGGAAATGTCGCCTGAGGAGGAGCGCCCCGAGGTGTTGTCTCGCATGACCGAGCCATCTATGGCCAATGAGCGTGGTCTCCATCTGGAACACAGAAGAAGTCCAGACAAATCATTGCATGATATCGATGCAAGGATTGCCTCGCCGGAGCTGGTTAGTGATCAGGCTGTGCGCAAGAGTGAAGCGGGGCTTATTGGGATGATATCTCCGCCGAGGCCTCCTCCTCCACCGATTCATCCTCCGTCGAGGGAGAGCCTTTATAAAAGGAAGGCATCGAGTTCAACTGATCCGCCTGCGTCACCTATAAAGTCTGGCAGTCGCAGTGGGAGTGGCAATGGTTGGGTGCTTGTGAACGTTGAGGGCAAGGAACACATGACAGCCTCCACGTCAACACCAGTTGGTAGTCCTACGTCCCCGACACAAGTCGAACGTAAAGGAAAGCGCACTACAAGTGCTGCCGCAGAAAGGGCCTCGATGTCCGCTGCAGCGAAGGCGATTGCCGTCGTAGACGCACAAGACTCAAAAGCCAAGAAGCGCCAGTCCACTGGTTCTGGTCTACGACGCTTACTATCTATCTCGCGGCCTGGTGCCAAGGGCGCTGACGAAGTGAAATCTGACCCTCGTCTCGCTACTCTACGCTCAAAGGAGCTTGCGTCCAGCGAAAAAGAAAGTTCTAAACTCACCCCCCCTCGCCAAAGGCGATTTCGCAACAGATTCACTCGCCTGGGCGCTTCAGAACCTGCCTCTCGGCCACCAGATCGAGTGCGGGTCAATCTGAACTAACTTTTCCATTCTTTCCATGCTCGATTCCCTATCCCTTATATTATCGACGTATGCTTAATTGCCTCTTTTACGACTCAGCAGCATATGACTCCATAACCCACGTTTACTGACTTCTTTGTGCATTTCGTTTGTCGCTCATGTAGTACTTATGCTTTACCTCTACAGGTGCCTTACGACAGACTACTCGTAATTTTACGGATACAACATATCGCTTTTCAAACTGGTGTCAACTCATTCTTCATTGCCTGAAGGTTTCTGTCACCTCCGTACTTAATACGTCCAACTTCCGACTTACCGACAACCTCCGCCACCAAAACCACCTAGTCCATTGC